ATGGATGATCGTTATCTAAATGAAATGAATGGGTTATATCATGGGTTATACATATTATTAACTGATATACCCAAAGCACCAATATTGGTTTCAAAAGCCAGGTACTGGGCCAATAGGAAAATGTCCTATGCTTAATCATGTTCATAAGCCTGAATATCCCGCTTAGCAAGTCCCCAACCCCTCAAAAGGATTGTTGTTGTCTGTCAACCACCAGCTACTACCATCATTTTTGAGCGTTAATCCCAATTATAATTCATTGACCACCAGAGCTTAAGTGGAACTATATTAACCCCGCTATGTTCGAGGGTTAAATCACGTTACTGTAAATCCCAAAATATGATATATGGCTATGAGTCAAAACCCTGTAGCCCAGGTGACCCCCAAAATGGATCATCCACAGATATTGATCCATAGGTCCATAGCCATCTAACGATTAGCCTGAATCAAGTCCTTCCTCCCAATGCGAAATAGCCCATTTTTAACACCGGCTTTAGTACTGGATGTGTTCAGTTTGGGGAGCCATGTGAATTCAATATAACTGAGGGATGGGATTTAGGATCATTTATCTAGATGACATTATACATAATATAATATATGTATATATATATATGATATATATATATATATCATATATATATATGGACATATACAGAATATATGTACATATACATAATATATATATATATATATTATGTATATGTACATATATATAAATATAATATATATATATATGATATATTATGATATGTATATATATATATATGTACATGATATATATATATGATATATATATGTATATATATATATCATATATATAATATAACATTATATATGTATATATATATATGTACATAGCCTAGAAATGGGATGGCGATCCCCACTGCCAAGCATATCTTTCACAGCTGAATGTTCAAGCAACCAGCGGCTAAAAAGCGTCCGAGCGTTGTTGGCTGAATCCCCCATGTACAACATCTCTACGGAAAATAATTGTTGGTGATCACCAAATTTGTTGGTTAAATCACCATCAACCATTTTCTTGGGGTAGGTCGTCCCGACTTTCTTGATTAAGCCACCACTTTTCAAGCCGATGATATAGTAATATTCAACACACCCAACGATTTGAGTCCTGAGTTCATAAGTTTCATCACGTCATATTTCATTCAGTCCTGAGTCCTGATAATTTAAGCCACCTATGGTGATTTAACATAGCTATGGAACATCGTTGTTGAAAGGTGAATCATCAAACTAAATTGGCCATCTATACCATAGCAATGTGGGACTACCAGAAAGTGGGTATGACCACCCTGAAAATCCAACAAAGACTTATCATACCATGTCCCAACAGTCTAAAGCTATGAAAGTAGGGGGTTCCCATTATATTATATTATATACACGTTTTTGTTTTTTAAAAAATACTACATTATATTATACTATACTATATTATATTATATTATATTACATTATATCACATTATTGTATTACATTATACTCCTGTTCATATTCCACCAATATTCCATGAATCTGGATGAATAAACGGATTCCGGGAGCCATCCCCAAATGCGTAAATTCAGCCAGAAATTCAGCCAGAGGGTATCCCATGATCCCATATTACCCTCTAGTAAACTAACATAGCTATTGAAAATGGCCATGGAAATAGTTGAATTACCCATTAAAAATGGTGATTTTCCATAGTTTTTTGTATGTTTACCAGAGGGTATCTAGATTTATCCAGAGTCATATCCACATAGTTTCTACCGTTGAACAACGGGTCATGGGATTGGTTTCGGTGATTGGTTTGACACCAGGATTGGCCTCATGTTTGGCGGGAAAAACCATGGTTTCCGGTGATAAGATGTTCACTTAAATCATGAAGTATCCCATCGAACCCCACTAAGTCTCCCATTAACTCCCAAATCACTTACTTAGTCAATGATCCATGGGGTCACCATGAAATCACCATTTTTGCGTGGAAAAAAACAATGGTTTCCGGGTCAGATTTTCCCATGGAAATCATCTCCGTTCGGAGACCCGGCCCCAAGGACCCCCGGGGCCCCTCCCAAGGACCGCCAACTGCGCGCACTTCACCTGGTGGAGCGATGGTGGATGCCATCTCCAGGTGGGAACTTCGAGCACAGTGGCACCCATTGAGTATTTAGAATGGATACCCTCTGGTGGACATACAAAAAACTATGGAAAATCACCATTTATAGTGGATTTTCCCATTAAAAATGGTGATTTTCCATAGCTATGTTAAATTACCAGAGGGTATAACTGGAGGTTATTTCAGCAATTTATGTTTTGCAGAGCATTTTGTAGTCTGGAAAGTATACAAAATGCTCTGCAAAACATACTGGGTATCAATAACGGGGGATCATATAAATTATATATAATCTAATATAATACAATAAAATAACATGAAATAATATATATATATATCACCATATACACCCAATCATCGTGGTTTAATGAGAAACATGGGATATGATCGGTATAACCGGATATCCCATATATATATGTGTTGATACTGGGTCAATGTTGTTCTAAAACTGGGTATAACTGGGATAACTGGGATATCCCATTATGAATGTGTTGACAAATGAATCAAAATGAGTATAAACACGGGAGGTGGCACTTATATGTTGAATATCCCACTTATATCCACTTAAAGTTTTTTGTTGGGTATAACTGGATATCCCATATACTGTATATATAATTAGGGATATAATATACAATAGATATAAAACCATATACCCCCAATAATCGTGGTTCAATGGCGAATATGATGAGTTTTTTCTACAGTTCATGGCGTCTAAAAACCAACTCAAAACATTAGTTTTATGTGGCTATGGATCAATACCTATTAATACCATTTTTAGTGGGATGAACATCATTTACCAGCTATTTTGATGTGAACTACAGGGGTACTATTGGTTTTGACACACTGCCATGTGGACATAACATCAAAAAATTGGGACAGTTTTTTCACGATCCAAGCCTGCGACCTGCAGAATTCAGTAGCATGTTGTATTATGTTGTAGTGGCTCCTTATTCCAAATACTTGTATGCAATACTACGCAATGTTTGTATAGTTATGATTATTCGTGTATATATATACAGATTTGCAAATATAGATGCAATCGGGTAAAAATGGCAAAGCAAGCAGCACTTGTGGGCTGCCAAAGCGAGCAGCACTTGAGACCTTGCAGGGATAGCTGATTTCACATCGATTCTCAGAGCGGAACCTTTTTCGTTTCAAGCGTGTTCAACCGTTTTCAAGCTATCATTTCCCATAGGATCCATGTATGCTATATATATATATGGTAACATGGATCCCATCAATATACCCCAGTCATATATTAGCATATATACCAGCACCATGGATCCTATGGGTTTTACCCCACACTTTTTCCATTGGGGTCTGACCTTTGCCGAGCCGGCAGGATGAGAGGGCCAAAAAGAAGAAGCAGCCTGGGCTGACGAGTGGACCTCCAAACTGTAAGGCCGGCATCACCAGCAGGTCCCAAAAGTTTTGGAGAATGGGACTTTAAATGACTGGAAAATCCCACAAAAAAGAATGTCAACAAGATATTCGACTGATGCTGACAGTATTCACGTGTTACCCCTTTCGGAACATTCTCTAAGTTAGGTAGCTCCATTCGCATCCGGAAAACCATCCAAAATTGAGTAAGCTGCGGTTCCAGCTTCATGACATTACCCCAAAATTTGATGGTCAATCATTGAGCAAAAAAAATCAGCATGTTCCACGGGCCACAAATTGGGATTACATCCACAGACAAACCCACATATCATATAAACTTAGTTCGTTGCATCCCATGAATTATCTCGTTTAATTGCATTAAACCACCAGAAATGGTTTGCAAATCTCCTTTTGTTGGACAAAAACCTGGATTTGCTAAAAGTCTTTGTGACATTTTCCATTGGTCACGTGACCATTTTGAAAATCTCCTGGGACGACCATGGATTTTTGACCAGGAGACCGTGCCGCGGCATTGCTGCTTCGTGGCAGAACAGCAGGAGCGCGCTTTCGCGGGACGAAAGGGTGGGACCGGGTTGGGAGCTGGAAAGGAATATGACTAATATACTAGTAATATGGTGATAGAATTTAATAGACTTAGATGAATGATATATTAGTAAGATCTGAGTAAAATAGTTGATGTAGGAATATTTTTCATGCTAATATTTGATATAGTAATACATTGGTAATACATTAGTGTATTATATTGGTGACACCAGTACTGCCAGGCATATTGATAGCAATATTGTTAGTGATGCAGAGCCATATAGTGTCCATGGTATTGCCAAAAATGACACCCCACATGTATTGGTTCTTCTTATGAATTGCTATTGCTACATTTTATAACGTAGAATCACATATTATCATATATGGTCATATTATCACTTATTGTTACTGTACATTTTTTTAAATCATAGCTTCTATTTATGTTCATTGTGCAGGTACCACTACCATTATCAACCTGTATCATTGTTAATTAGTATTGATAGTCATCCATGTTGAGGGCTGTCAACCACAAATCCTGACTTGGATGCATCAGTGAAGCAAGCAAGAGGGTGATCTCATCACAATATCCCAGCACAAATGAACTTTGGTAGCTGCTAAGCGTGGCACAAAGATTCCTCTGGCAGGTCTTGAGCACAGGATTTGCACTTGTCAGTGAGAAGAAACGATGTTTCGAGACTTTTTCGTACTGTAGTTTTGAGACCACATTTGGTACCCTCTGGTAAACTAACATAGCTATGGAACATCACCATTTTTCATGGGTAAATTAACTATTTCTATGGTAATGTTCAATGGCAAACTCTTAAATTACCAATGACGGATCCATGGTGCTGGTATGTATATGCTAACATTTATTGGGGGTATATTGATGGGATCCATGTTATCATATATATAGCAGCACCATGGATCCTATGGGTTACAACCTCCAGATGGCAAGCTGAAAAATCCCGAGAAACCTCGTGCAGGAGCTTGAGATCCACATTGGCACCAGCTGCTTCGGTGAAGTGAAAATTCATGGTTGAAACCTGAATTAAAACGGGTTGGGGAGGTTCAATATGGTTTAACCGTTAACCATGAGGATGTCTGATATTTACCACATTTTCTAACCATCTGTGTTCCCGAAATGAAAAACAAATCCGTTGATAGTAGCGGTTCACTGGGTTGGTTCAAGGGAAAACGTTCATGATGGCTCATCAAACTCAACAGGGACATTAAACTAAATAGTCTTTAGGAATTATATTGATCCAGAATGATCCAGATATGTTCTTGCTGGTGAGGATGTAAGCCCAGATGCCCGCACAACAAGTCTTGATAAAAGCTATCGTGGCAGCATTTTTTCTGTTTCTTCTTCGGGGATCACGACAATGGATACCCTATGGCTGACGAATGAAACAATCAAACATCGCATGAAGGTCAGGCATCAAGTCATAATCATCGTAGCTCTCCATAGACACTTGGTATATATCCTGAATTGAAGACATTTTCCGGGATGTGACCAAAATCACCACCAGGAACCCGAAGGTTGTGAAGTCGAAGTCATTGGGAAGCCCCGAACTGAATTGCGGAGGCTTCATCTCAGCCGCTCAAGCCTTAAGGGCCGTGGATGCGGAGGTTCGCCGGTGGTTTCGGAGATGTTCAACTGGTGGGCTTGGGATATCCGTCAGGGAGGTTTCACCACCGAAAATGGTGGTATGGCAACGGAAATGTTTGGGTATTATATAACGGGGATATATTTGGATTGTTCTGGGTTATTAATTGCTTTTTCGGAAAATCAATGATGGCAAGCTAGGATGTATGGAAAATCATGTATCAATGGGGAATTTTCATTGCCATGTTTGATTACGGGAGGGTAGGGTTTCAAGAACCACGTCTGAACATGGGGATTTACTGCAATTGTATAGCGAAAATGGAGAAGAATGGAGATTGAGATTTGACCAGGCAGAACGGGGAAAGGCTTTCACCACATCCTGCCTTCCAGCCAGCAGAAGGTGATATAAATCCTAGAACTACTAGGTTACTATGGTGACAATATATGGAGGTTTCCTAAATCCTAGAGGTCCCAAAAACATCATTTTTTTTGATTTTTAATGATTTTCGATACGAAAAAACCCATGCAGCTATTGGGGTACCCTAGGGAAACTTTTGAATACCAAGGTCCCGCCGGAACGTTCACGAGCCCCCAGAAACCTTGGCTATGCTGGTTTAGTTCACTAGATTAAACATGGTTAACTAGGGTTCATATGGGTTTATGGTAGATTTGTCATGTCATTATATTATACATACTTAATACATTCTTAATACATACTCAATGGAGTTTACAAACTAAGGGGTATTTGTTCTTTGTTATTTGTTTTCCAGCCTGGCTTCGTGGCTTTCGAGGCTGTTGTAGCTTTTGGATTCTTGGATATTCTTGGCTTTTGTGATTTCTTGGCGCTGTGCTGCAACTATTGTGCAGAAAACAAGTAAAACATTAATTAGGAAAAATAAGACAATAATAATAATTGACAGTAATCGTCTTATACAAGAAAGACAAGATCCAACAAAAGAATTTGCAGGAACACTTTGATGACATCCAATGAAACTATTTACGTTATATTAATAATATTATTATACACTATATACATGAAATAAAATCGGATTTTCCATTTTAAACCATGCAGCAATTGGGGTATCTCCATGACTTAGGAAACCTCCATATAATTTTTGGGGGTGTAATTCCATTTAATGAGTATCCCACTATATTCCCATGACATTTCCATTAATATAGAGATTCATAATCCAAATCTCCAATTCATTATCGGCAATATCCAAATCTATCAGTTCATATTATTATAGTAATGGACTATTTATCTCTAATGGGATTGGTAATCTTGAATAATAACATATAGATAAGTAAAGATTTCAATTAGATTAGTAAGCCAGATTAGTAGAGATTAATTGATTACTGTACTAATTATCATGGGTTGTTAACGGAAATATCCTATTATCATTATTATTATTAGTCCCATAGGTAATATCATTAGTCCCATGGAAATTAACTATAGGTAATATATGATTATCCCGACTAGGGACTAGGAATATCATTAGTCCCTATTATCATTAGTCCCATGGGATATAATTATCTTGCCCTATTATTATTGGTCCCATACCCATAGGATCCATGGTGCTGGTATATATATGCTAACATTTATTGGGGGTATATTGATGGGATCCATGTTACCATATATAGCAGCACCATGGATCCTATGGGATAGGTAATCATCCAACTCCTTAAATCTCAGGTGAAGGGCAAGACCTTCGACGACCTGGTTAGTGAAGGTCGAGACGCCTGGCGAAAGTTGCTGCGGAAAGTGGAGGCCGCGGCTGCGGTGAACGGTGGTTTGGGGGGGAGTTCGCCAAAAAAATGATGGGTTTAACGAAGAAAAATTGTCATTTCCAGACATGGTAATTTAACCAAGAAAAATAGAGATTTCACCAAAAATTGGACTGAAGTTGCAAACATGGAGAACTTATTCGATGTTTTTGGGGAAACAGTTGAAGATTTCACCAACTCAATATGGGACATTTTCAGAACAAAACATGGGATTTCACCAAGAAAAAGTGCCTGCCACCCTAGAGACTTGCAGAGGTTTACACAACAGGATTTGGCCTGCACCAGGCCTCTTTTGGGTTTTAGATCATCCCATAGCTTTTGGTAATATGTACAGTACCCTCTGGTTATGACTAACATAGCCATGGTATAGATGACCCTAATCGAAATAGATGGTTTACCTATTAAAAACGGGTGGATTTTCCATGGCTATGTTAAATAACCAGAGGGTAAAATCAATGAACATCACATTGTTTTGTAGGTGACACATCTATAAATGGTACATTTTTCTCTAGATATGCTCGTTTACTGGAGAGGTATATACAATTGGTTTTAGAAGGACACATGTTTGAAGCCCATTGGAACCCCCAAGTTGTTCATTCCCGCGCAGGTTTTAGACGCAGGGCCGGCTACTGCTGCAACCTTCAGGCGGGTTGAAAGGTTTCAACGGGGTGTGAAAGTTGCAACGAATCCTTTGAACATGGGTTAACCTTGGCCTTGTTAACCTTGAGGTACCCTCTGGCAATCAACATGACTAATTATTGAACATGGCCCATCATGGCAAAACTATTGTTGATTACCTATTACAGATAGATGGTGATTTTCCATGATTTTCCATACCCAAAGATGGGATACAACAATGTTCAAGACCCCAGAAGCTTCGCCTCTCCGACCGAGCTCAATGAGGCGCCTGGAAGTCTTCTACACCTCACTCTACCGGGCCCTGCTTTTCCCGCGGCGTTTGGATGAAGAGACGCCTACAGGCGTCAGTTTTTTGAGGGGCTGCCGGTGTCTCCCAAACCAAGGGCCAGGGTTGGGGGACCATTCGTAGCGAGGGATATTACTTCATATGGAGAGTCGAGATGGGTCAAATTTATTAGTGTTGCCGTGGGTTATAAGTTATAACCAACAAATCTGCGGCTCAAACCCCAAAGAGCCTGCAAATTGTCACCTGGTTGGTGGTTTGGAGCATGAATTTTATTTTTCCATATATTGGGAATCATCATCTCAAGTGACGAACTCATATTTTTCAGAGGGGTAGGTATACCACCAACCAGAAATTATCTTCAGTAAACCGACGTTGATGTGTTCTCCAACTGTTTCCTCACCCTTTTGGAAGCAATTCGAACCGCGTCTTGGGCCGTCACTGAGAGTTCCAAGTCCTTCCAAGGCATACGACACTGGAGCCCGTACAGCGGGCAAGTGATGGCGGGCATCGGAGTTAGTGAGCCTTGGGGGAATCGGAAATCGATGACCCAACATGACGGTTGACATTTGGGTGATTTCATGGGGATTTCATGCGATTTAGGTAGCATTACATGGGATTTCATAGGATCTCACGGGATTTAATTGATATTTGAATATATTTCATGGGAATTGATGCTGACTTAAGTAGTGGAAAGTTGACAGATGATGACCCAAATTGACTAATTCACTGGATTGGTTCAAGGGAAAAATCTACAGGATTTACCATGGTTTCCTGCAACATTTCCCCTGCAACATTGCCCTTAAAGCAATCCAATGACTCATGGAAATTTACGTGATTTTCCTTCTTATTTAATTAATTGGAAAATAATATGGTTATTAGTGGGTATTTTGCCAACAAAATTGTGAATAGTCATGGGATATCAATAGCTATAACATGGAACATAATGGCATAAATCATTGGGTAATCATGAGATGTAATAGGATATAATGTGGGATTGTACCTTACCTTACCTTACCCTCCTGTAAACATACAAAAAGATGTAGGAATCTACAAATGGTGGGATTTCCGCAAATTCTTATCTATGTTTACAGGAAGGTGTTTTTCGTGTTATCATGTTAAATTTTAAACATCTTTTTCAGATGGGTTGAAACCATCAATCAGCATACTAACAACAACCTTTAAAGTAATCATACAAGGCGGTTTCCCGGCCGATGCTTGTTGGTTTATGAACCCATGTAACTACAGTATAGAATATTGTATGATATATATATATATATACATACATAGTATATATATACATAGCATGAACCCTAGTTACTACCATATTTCTGGATTAACATCTGGTAATTTACCAAAGCTATGGAAGCAATGACCCGTAGAACTGTGGATCCGTATTTGTGTTCTAGTGTATCCGGTAGTACATGGAGGGAGCCGTTAATTTTCTCTATGAAATGCAATGAGCTCGAATTGAGTTTGCCAACCACATGATAGTTGGCATGTTCTTTTCGGGGAGATGCTAGCAGTAAACTGTTCATGATGGCAATGTACATGGAAGTATATGCTACCCTGAATTCTTCAGACGTATGTGGACTCTCAGTGACTAGCTAAATGGTGCAAAAAAACATCATTGACAATCTATCCAGTGGTTGGGGAGCGTTTTCGGAGCTACTGTATGTATCATTATATCCATATTCTCTATTGGCCATGGAAAGCTAAGGAACTATACTCAGTTGATTCATGATTAGTTGGGGGATGATACAAACCGATATATAATCATGGGAAATATCATATTATAGCTGATATCTCCTAACCGCCTGATAGCAATGGAGAATTTTTCTGATCTTGATGTTCAGGGTCCCAGTGCTTGCCGAGGACAATGGCTTTTGGGACACCTTCCGAACTGCAACTGGGCCTGAACGCAGCGCAGCTGGTAATTCAACATACATCTAGCTATGGACAATCAATGAAAATTGCCATTTTGCATAGTAAATTATCTATACATCGGCCATTTTCCAAAGCTATGTTAAGTTATTAGGCAATACTTTTCCAAAGTAATTGAGATGTCTGAGGTGTTCTTGAGATACTGATATTGAGTGCAACATGTGTTATTGCTACAAATTGCACCGACTTTAAACTTTAGACCAATGCAGAGAACTTACCGGTAATTTAAGTATGGGCGTACATCACAGAAGCGTATAGTCTTTGGTCATTTACTATGGCAAAACCATATGACACCATCAATTTTTCGGTGTTTTTGGGGCAGTGCATGTTTTTTCGCTTATTTTCAGGGATTTAATCAATCAAAATCATCCAATTCTCCACTTTCCTCGAAATCAAAGACCAGCAAAGATCATCACAGAGCCGTTGAAACAGCGGCAGGTCTATCCTTTGTTGTCCATCGCGTATCCGAAGCAACTCTCCAACTTTGTGGCGGGATGGCTGAACTCCTTTGAGGTGCGCCATGGTGCGTCATTTCGTGATCTGCCGGAGCTTCATCTTTGGGCCCGTGAGTCGTTGTTTTCGTTGATTAACCCATGTTACTACATCATTATAGTCATAGATCTACATATATCTACCATAAAGCCTAGGTGAGCGGCTTGGTTTTGCAGCCGTACCCTCTAGAGTAAACGTGGTAACGTAACTGATGGGAAAATCACCATTTTTCAATGGGAAAATCCATTATTTCTATGGCCATTTTCAATAGCTATGTATGTATGTTTACCAGGCCGGGAAACGTTAGGGTCCATGGTCAGGCTGGCGGCTGGCTGCCAAAATGGGCCAGCCCAGGTTATCGAGACTCCATGGTGCCCTGGCGGTGCTGACGTGGGAGAAATGGTGTTTTCCATAGGGCTACCGGGCTACCCCTTTATCGCTGGTTGGTTTATTTCATGGAAAATCCATGAAAATCCGATTCAAATGGATGATGACTGGGGGTATCCCTATTTTTCCATGAAATGGGATGATGTCCATTTGAAAAAAAACTTTTTAAAGACCATTATCGGCTGGAAAGAACATGTTCTTCTTTTCCGTTTGAAATGGGATGATGATTGATGATGATCCCAAAAGCGACGAACTTCTATTTTTGGGGCTTACCAAGCACCAACCATAGATGTCCTTTTCCCATTGGTTGGTTGATGAATAGAGGGGTTTGAAGAAACCCCTTTAACAACAGGTAAATGATGATAGATGGTATACCAAACCGACCCCCCAATTTTTACCAAAAAGCACCGGTTGAGATGATACAAGAAATCACCAGACATCAGGGCTTCTGACGATAGAACCAGCGATGATGTGGGCAAGTCTAGAAATCACCAACACTGGGGAGCACTGGGCAGTTGAGCCCTGTATTAGCTTGATTCTTGCTGCTGACAGCAGTCATATCTCGGTATGAAACTGCCTATCATGGTTTCTTTATATGTGTATATACAAGATAGAATCTTAATGTCAGTTTATTTATATTCATTCTTCCGTCACTTATACGTTAAAACAACATCAATTCCTGCTTGTTTGATTGGATTCATATTGGATCTACTGGGATGTGCCACTTAGAAACCGGTTAAAACTTTCGTGAAGACAACATGTCAAAGTCAGATTAGAGTTTGGTGAGCAATCACTATTTAGATGCCAATGTTTTGGATGCAAGATTCAATTCGCCAGTTTTTTTTTTGCGGCCAATTTGTATATATGTGTGACATCTTATCAGCCTTTCAGGTTTCTTCAATGCCTTTCTTTTATTGGTTGACATGACTCGTTGGACTCATTGGTGCCTTATTTTGGTGGTTGAATCGACCATCCCTTTCTAGACTGGATAAAAATCAATCACACCTGTTTTGCATCTTTTTTCCGGGTTATTGTAGATAACAATACTTTTCATGGATGGACAAGTATAAACAGTACTGAAAGATAGATATATATATATCTAAGGGCTGCCGCCCCTGCCGCCGACCCCGGAACAAGCAACCGAGGTTGTGTCAGCATGTCAGTTTGTCTGTATTTCTTGAGACATTCTTGAAACACTTCATGCACCGCTGGTTCCTTCATGTTGATTTGAGCCACTTTTTCCTCCTGCTGCTGCTGCTGCTTCTGCTCCTGCTGCTCCTTCTGTTCAAACGGAGTACAGTAGAAGCATGTGATTTTCGCTACTATTTCCTCCTGCTGCTGCTGCTGCTGTTCAAAAAGACAGCACCCGGATGGAAAAAAACCCTATAGCAGTGAAGGACGAAGAAGCCCCAAAATTGCACCCCAAAAATGCCTAACGTAACTTCTGAAACCCATAGAAAACGATGATTTGAGCCACTTTTTCCTCCTTCTGCTGCTGCTGCTTCTGCTCCTGCTGCTCCTTCTGTTCAAACGGAGTATAGTAGAAGCATGTGATTTTCGCTACTATTTCCTCCTGCTGCTGCTGCTGCTGTTCAAAAGACAGCACCCGGATGGAAAAAAACCCTATAGCAGTGAAGGACGAAGAAGCCCCAAAATTGCACCCCAAAAATGCCTAACGTAACTTCTGAAACCCATAAAAAATGATGATTTTGGCTTTTTTTTCTTCTTGTTCCTGCTATGAATTTTGGCTACCTTTTCCTCCTGCTGCTGCAGAGGCTTTTGCTGCTGCTGCTGCTGCTGGTCCCCGGATGGGAAAACACCATGGCAGTGAAGGACGGAGAAGCCCCAAAATTGCACCCCGAAAATGCCTAACGTAACTTCTGAAACCCATAGAAAATGATGATTTTAGCTACTTTTTCCTCTTGCTGCTGCTATGAATTTTGGCTACCTTTTCCTCGTGCTGCTGCAGAGGCTTTTGCTGCTGCTGCTGGTCCCCGGATGGGAAAACACCATGGCAGTGAAGGACGGAGAAGCCCCAAAATTGCACCCCGAAAATCCCTAACGTAACTTCTGAAACCCATAGAAAATGATGATTTTGGCACCTTTTTCCTCTTGCTGCTGCTATGAATTTTGGCTACCTTTTCCTCCTGCTGCTGCAGAAGCTTTTGCTGCTGCTGCTGCTGGTCCCCGGATGGGAAAACACCATGGCAGTGAAGGACGGAGAAGCCCCAAAATTGCACCCCGAAAATGCCTAACGTAACTTCTGAAAGCCATAGAAAATGATGATTTTGGAACCTTTTTCCTCTTGCTGCTGCTATGAATTTTGGCTACCTTTTCCTCCTACTGCTGCAGAGGCTTTTGCTGCTGCTGCTGCTGGTCCCCGGATGGGAAAACACTATCGCAGTGAAAGGACAGAGAAGCTCCAAAATTGCACCCCGAAAATGCCTAACGTAACTTCTGAAACCCATAGAAAATGATGATTTTGGCTACCTTTTCCTCCTGCTGCTGCAGAGGCTTTTGCTGCTGCTGCTGCTGGTCCCCGGATGGGAAAACACCATGGCAGTGAAGGACGGAGAAGCCCCAAAATTGCACCCCAAAATGCCCAATGTAATTTCTGAAACCTATAGAAAAAAATGATTTTGGCTGCTTTTTCCTCTTGCTGCTGCTATGAATTTTGGCTTTTGCTGCTGCTGGTCCCCGTTTGAAACCCATAGAAAACGATGATTTGAGCCACTTTCTTCCTTCTGCTGCTGCTGCTGCTTTTTCTCCTGCTGCTCCTTCTGTTCAAACGGAGTATAGTAGAAGCACGTGATTTTCGCTACTATTTCCTCCTGCTGCTGCTGCTGCTGTTCAAAAGACAGCCCCCGGATGGAAAAAAATCCTATAGCAGTGAAGGACGAAGAAGCCCCAAAATTGCACCCCAAAAATGCCTAACGCAACTTCTGAAACCCATAGAAAATGATGATTTTGGCTGCTTTTTCTTCTTGCTGTTGCGATGAATTTTGGCTACCTTTTCCTCCTGCTGCTGCAGAGGCTTTTTGCTGCTGCTGCTGCTGGTCCCCGGATGGGAAAACACCATGGCAGTGAAGGACGGAGAAGCCCCAAAATTGCACCCCGAAAATGCCTAACGTAACTTCTGAAACCCACAGAAAATGATGATTTTAGCTACTTTTTCCTCTTGCTGCTGCTATGAATTTTGGCTACCTTTTCCTCGTGCTGCTGCAGAGGCTTTTGCTGGCCCCCGGATGGGAAAACGCCATGGCAGGCCGCTTTTTCCTCTTGCTGCTGCTATGGATTTTGGCTACCTTGTCCTCCTGCTGCTGCAGAAGCTTTTGCTGCTGCTGCTGCTGCTGTCCCCGGATGGGAAAACACCATGGCAGTGAAGGACGGAGAAGCCCCAAAATTGCACCCCGAAAATGCCTAACGTAACTTCTGAAACCCATAGAAAATGATGATTTTGGCACCTTTTTCCTCTTGCTGCTGCTATGAATTTTGGCTACCTTGTCCTCCTGCTGCTGCAGAAGCTTTTGCTGCTGCTGCGCCCGGATGGGAAAACACCATGGTAGTGAAGGACGGAGAAGCCCTAAAATTGCACCCCGAAAATGCCTAACGTAACTTCTGAAACCCATAGAAAATGATGATTTTGGCCGCTTTTTCCTCTTGCTGCTGCTATGAATTTTGGCTACCTTTTCCTCCTGCTGCAGAGGTTTTTGCTGCTGCTGCTGCTGGTCCTCGGGTGGGAAAACATCATGGCAGTGAAGGACGAAGAAGCCCCAAAATTGCACCCCAAAAATGCCTAACGCAACTTCTGAAACCCATAGAAAATGATGATTTTGGCACCTTTTTCCTCTTGCTGCTGCTATGAATTTTGGCTACCTTTTCCTCCTGCTGCTGCAGAGGTTTTTGCTGCTGCTGCTGCTGGTCCCCGGATGGGAAAACACCATGGCAGTGAAGGACAGAGAAGCCCCAAAATTGCACCCCGAAAATGCCTAACGTAACTTCTGAAACCCATAGAAAATGATGATTTTGGCTACCTTTTCCTCCTGCTGCTGCAGAGGCTTTTGCTGCTGCTGCTGCTGGTCCCCGGATGGGAAAACACCATGGCAGTGAAGGACGGAGAAGCCCCAACATTGCACCCCAAAATGCCCAATGTAATTTCTGAAACCTATAGAAAAAAATGATTTGGGCTGCTTTTTCCTCTTGCTGCTGCTATGAATTTTGGCTTTTGCTGCTGCTGGTCCCCGTTTGAAACCCATAGAAAACGATGATTTGAGCCACTTTCTTCCTTCTGCTGCTGCTGCTGCTTTTTCTCCTGCTGCTCCTTCTGTTCAAACGGAGTATAGTAGAAGCACGTGATTTTCGCTACTATTTCCTCCTGCTGCTGCTGCTGCTGCTGTTCAAAAGACAGCCCCCGGATGGAAAAAAAAACCTATAGCAGTGAAGGACGAAGAAGCCCCAAAATTGCACCCCAAAAATGCCTAACGCAACTTCTGAAACCCATAGAAAATGATGATTTTGGCTGCTTTTTCTTCTTGCTGTTGCGATGAATTTTGGCTACCTTTTCCTCCTGCTGCTGCAGAGGCTTTTTGCTGCTGCTGCTGCTGGTCCCCGGATGGGAAAACACCATGGCAGTGAAGGACGGAGAAGCCCCAAAATTGCACCCCGAAAATGCCTAACGTAACTTCTGAAACCCACAGAAAATGATGATTTTAGCTACTTTTTCCTCTTGCTGCTGCTATGAATTTTGGCTACCTTTTCCTCGTGCTGCTGCAGAGGCTTTTGCTGGCCCCCGGATGGGAAAACGCCATGGCAGGCCGCTTTTTCCTCTTGCTGCTGCTATGGATTTTGGCTACCTTGTCCTCCTGCTGCTGCAGAAGCTTTTGCTGCTGCTGCTGCTGCTGCTGGTCCCCGGATGGGAAAACACCATGGCAGTGAAGGACGGAGAAGCCCCAAAATTGCACCCCGAAAATGCCTAACGTAACTTCTGAAACCCATAGAAAATGATGATTTTGGCACCTTTTTCCTCTTGCTGCTGCTATGAATTTTGGCTACCTTGTCCTCCTGCTGCTGCAGAAGCTTTTGCTGCTGCTGCGCCCGGATGGGAAAACACCATGGTAGTGAAGGACGGAGAAGCCCTAAAATTGCACCCCGAAAATGCCTAACGTAACTTCTGAAACCCATAGAAAATGATGATTTTGGCCGCTTTTTCCTCTTGCTGCTGCTATGAATTTTGGCTACCTTTTCCTCCTGCTGCAGAGGTTTTTGCTGCTGCTGCTGCTGGTCCTCGGGTGGGAAAACATCATGGCAGTGAAGGACGAAGAAGCCCCAAAATTGCACCCCAAAAATGCCTAACGCAACTTCTGAAACCCATAGAAAATGATGATTTTGGCTGCTTTTTCTTCTTGCTGTTGCGATGAATTTTGGCTACCTTTTCCTCCTGCTGCTGCAGAGGCTTTTTGCTGCTGCTGCTGCTGGTCCCCGGATGGGAAAACACCATGGTAGTGAAGGACGGAGAAGCCCTAAAATTGCACCCCGAAAATGCCTAACGTAACTTCTGAAACCCACAGAAAATGATGATTTTAGCTACTTTTTCCTCTTGCTGCTGCTTGCTGCTATGAATTTTGGCTACCTTTTCCTCGTGCTGCTGCAGAGGCTTTTGCTGGCCCCCGGATGGGAAAACGCCATGGCAGGCCGCTTTTTCCTCTTGCTGCTGCTATGAATTTTGGCTACCTTGTCCTCCTGCTGCTGCAGAAGCTTTTGCTGCTGCTGCTGCTGCTGGTCCCCCGATGGGAAAACACCATGGCAGTGAAGGACGGAGAAGCCCCAAAATTGCACCCCGAAAATGCCTAACGTAACTTCTGCAACCCATAGAAAATGATGATTTTGGCACCTTTTTCCTCTTGCTGCTGCTATGAATTTTGGCTACCTTTTCCTCCTGCTGCTGCAGAGGCTTTTGCTGCTGCTGCTGCTGCGCCCGGATGGGAAAACACCATGGTAGTGAAGGACGGAGAAGCCCTAAAATTGCACCCCGAAAATGCCTAACGTGACTTCTGAAACCCATAGAAAATGATAATTTTGGCCGCTTTTTCCTCTTGCTGCTGCTATGAATTTTGGCTACCTTTTCCTCCTGCTGCAGAGGTTTTTGCTGCTGCTGCTGCTGGTCCTCGGGTGGGAAAACATCATGGCAGTGAAGGACGGAGAAGCCCCAAAATTGCACCCCGAAAATGCCTAACGTAACTTCTGCAACCCATAGAAAATGATGATTTTGGCACCTTTTTCCTCTTGCTGCTGCTATGAATTTTGGCTACCTTGTCCTCCTGCTGCTGCAGAAGCTTTGCTTGCTGTTGCTGTGCTGCTGTGGTCCCCGGATGGGAAAACACCATGGCAGTGAAGGAGGAAAAACCCAAAAATTGCACCCCGAAATGCCTAACGTACTTAGAACCCATAGAAAAGATGATTTTTGGCACTTTTTCCTCTTGCTGCTGCTTATGAATTTTGGCTACCTTTTTCTTGCTGCTGCAGAGGGCCTTTTGTGCTGCTTGCTCTGGCCCGGATGGGGAAAACCATGGCAGCTTGAGGAGGCGAAAAAGCCCCAAAATTGACCACCCCCAAATGCCTCAACGAAACTTCTGGACCCATAGGAAAATGATGATTTGGCTGCTTTTTCTCTTTGCGAGGCGGCTGCTATGAATAGAAGTTGGCGCCTTTCCTCCTGCTGCTGCAGAGGATTTTTGCTGCTGCTGCTGCTGGTCCTCGGGTGGGAAAACATCATGGCAGTGAAGGACGAAGAAGCCCCAAAATTGCACCCCAAAAATGCCTAACGCAACTTCTGAAACCCATAGAAAATGATGATTTTGGCTACCTTGTCCTCCTGCTGCTGCAGAAGCTTTTGCTGCTGCTGCTGCTGCTGCTGGTCCCCGGATGGGAAAACACCATGGCAGTGAAGGACGGAGAAACCCCAAATTTGCACCCCGAAAATGCCTAACGTAACTTCTGAAACCCATAGAAAATGATGATTTTGGCACCTTTTTCCTCTTGCTGCTGCTATGAATTTTGGCTACCTTTTCCTCCTGCTGCTGCAGAGGCTTTTGCTGCTGCTGCTTCTGGTCCCCGGATGGGAAAACACCATGGCAGTGAAGGACGGCGAAGCCCCAAAATTGCACCCCCAAAATGCCTAACGTAACTTCTGGAACCCATAGAAAATGATGATTTTGGCTGCTTTTTCCTCTTGCTGCTGCTATGAATATGAAGTTTGGCTGCCTTTTCCTCCTGCTGCTGCAGAGGCTTTTGCTGCTGCTGCTGCTGGTCCCCCGATGGGAAAACACCATGGCAGTGAAGGACGGAGAAGCCCCAAAATTGCACCCCGAAAATGCCTAACGTAACTTCTGAAACCCATAGAAAATGATGATTTTGGCCGCTTTTTCCTCTTGCTGCTGCTATGAATTTTGGCTACCTTTTCCTCCTGCTGCAGCAGAGGCTTTTGCTGCTGCTGTGCCCGGATGGGAAAACACCATGGCAGTGAAGGACGGAGAAGCCCCAAAATTGCACCCCGAAAATTCCTAACGTAACTTCTGAAACCCATAGAAAATGATGATTTTGGCTGCTTTTTCTTCTTGCTCTTGCTATGAATATGAAGTTTGGCTGCCTTTTCCTCCTGCTGCTGCAGAGGCTTTTGCTGGTGCTGCTGCTGGTCCCCGGATGGGAAAACACCTATGAATTTTGGCTACCTTTTCCTCCTGCTGCAGCAGAGGCTTTTGCTGCTGCTGCTGCTGGTCCCCGGATGGGAAAACACCATGGCAGTGACGGGCGGAGAAGCCCCAAAATTGCACCCCGAAAATGCCTAACGTAACGAGCTGCTGGCTGCTGCTGGCTGCTGCTGCTGCTGCTGCCGCTGCTGCTGCTGCCACCTTTTTAAGAGCTGCTGGCTGCTCCTAGCTGGCTGCTAGCTGCTGCTGCTGCTCCTGCTGCTGGTGCGGCTAAACTTGCTTGTCTTTGCTTTACTTCTCCTGCTGCTGCTGCTGCGCCTGCTGCGGTAGTAGCCCGAAACAATTTTTATACCACTGTTTGTACAATGAGACATAGAACCCTCCTGTTGCTCCTGCTGCTGCTGCTGCTGGTGATGCTGGCGTCTGCTGATGCTGCTGCAGCTGCTGCTGCTGCTGCAGGGGCGCCGCCGCCGCCGCGCCGCTGCGGACGCCGCTGCTGCCGCGACCGCCGATGCCGGCCGCCGCCGACGCAGCCGCTGCGGCCGCCCGCCGCTGCCGCTGCCGCCGAACCGCTTGCTGCTGCTCCTGCCGTGCCATCAACCAGCCTCCAAGGCGAGAAACCAACAGCCAGACATCTTTTTCGAAATTCACTCGAAACAGCAAAACACCACCTAATTTCGTGCCAAAAATGGCGCAAAATCGCAGCAAAAAAGTGCCTAACGTGTCTTCTGAAATCCTAGAGAATCCTAGAGAATCCTAGACTATACATCCTAGAAAATCTTAGACTATATATAGTACTGGCTGCCTGCTGGCTGCTGCAAAAACGTGGGAAACACCATAGCAGTGAAGGTCGCAGCTGCCGCTGCTGGTGCCGTCGTCCGCTCCTGCGCTGCTGCTGCTCCTGCCGTGCCATCAACCAGCCTCCAAGGCGAGAAACCAACAGCCAGACAGCTTTTTCGAAACTCGTCGTCGTAGTAGTAGTAGTAGTAGCAGGAGTAGTAGTAGTAGGAGGAGGAGGAGTAGTAGTAGTAGTCCGACAAGAGTCAAATGTCTTATTCCCTGGCGCGCTCCCCCTTGCGTCTGCCGGGGTCGGCGGATATATATATATATATATATACATATAGATATAAAGTATAAATGTTTCAAGATGTTAACCACTTTTTCAATAACTTGTCCATTGTTTCGGTTTGGGGAGTAAACTCCTTGCGTGTTTTCCCTCGGGGTTATCTTTGCAGAACCAGCCCTTCCCCTCGGGCAGATTGGCACCTTTGCAGACGTGGTCCTGGCGGATGCCATCGTGAAGAACATCTCAGGTCCGGAGAGGGAGAGGTGAAGCTTAAAACCCGAAAAGGATGACAACAAACTTTTCTGGGTATGAGAAACATATGGGTATGGATCAATACCTATTAATACCATTTTTAATGGGATGAACATCCATTTACCAGCTATTTTGATGTGAACTACAGGGGTACAAGGTTTTGACACACTGCCATATGGACATCATGTGGGTAAAACATGGTAAAGCAATTTTAAACACCACCCATTTGAGAATGGTAAACATACCACCTATTTATGGTGATGACTGGGGGATGGTTTATGATTGTTTTAGCCACATGATACTCTTTGCTCAACGAAAATACGGAACATCACCACTTTTAAGTTCGGTAAATCAACGATAGCTATGTGATTTCTCACCAGAGGCTAAGCAGGCTCCCACTTTTATCCACCTCAATCAGATCCCGTTGAATCATCAAACTAATCTGATTGGTGGTTTGGAACCATGGAATTTTATTTTTCCATATATTGGGAATGTCATCATCTCAACTGACGAACTCATATTTTTCAGAGGAACCATGGAATTTTATGACTTTCCCATCATATTGGGAATGTCATCATCCCAACTGTTACTCACTCCATCATTTTTCAGAGGGGTAAGTTGAAACCACCGACCAGTAATATACGGCCATTGATGATTGACCGCTGGATTTAGGAGTTTACCATTTTCAGAGCAAAGCTGTAGAAGATAGGAAACGAACACAGGTAATAAGTAACCTGATAGGGATGATACAATACAGTTCCGATATAATTGCTATACACAATTCATATTAGGATGAAAAGGATATGATAATAATAGGATGAGAAGGATATGCAAGCATCAGGGTATGACACATAATAACATTTGATATAATTTGAATATAATTTATAGTTACAATATGGAATCCAATCATAATCTTCACAAAGATCAGGATCTGATAATGGGATATATATATATGATATAGTAGTAATGGTTTACATAGCACCAAGTAACTTGGATTTACAGGTCCTTGGAGGCTGGTCATCAATATGGGATGACCATAAACCATAGATATATGAGATATAGTTAATGATGGCAATGACATAATGATGATGGTTTTTCAGAATGGTGGTACACTATATGCCATAGTAATATTACCAATCCGTAATGTGTCATTATAGGATATGATGGTGCTATAATGTTTATATCATTGGGATAGTCCACGACAATTATTATAGGAATTCCACCACTCATGGATATTACCCTCTGGTAAACGTTTACAGAACTATGGAAAATCACCATGCTATTAATGGGTAAATCCACTATAAATGGCCATGTTCAATAGCTATGTTTATGATATTAGAAGACACAGATTAGATGTCTCTTCTTCCCACCAGTTGGTTGATCGACAGAGGGTTCCTCCCCAGCCAATAGGTAGATGATATGGTAAAGCAAGGAGAAGAGACTACGGGAGATTGCGTAGAATATGTGGATAAGTTTCGATGTGGATTGAAGATGATGAATCATTATTATTATATCAGCCCCTTTTTTCAGAGAGATTGGAATGAGGGGTAATTGTGATATAAATCCACCATATTCCACTAGGGATAAAACATGACAAATGATGTTGTATTATCATTATCATTATCATTTTCAGACAGTGATAACCAGAATGACATGGCAATCTGATAACACATATCGGATGATGGAGGTGCTGGGATATACCCTTTGCTTATTTAACATAGCCATGGAAGCCCTGGCCCATTTCTAGATGGTTTTACCGTTCTTAAGAATGGGTGGATTTTCCATTTTCCATGGCTATGTTAGTCATAACCAAAGGGTATAACTGGGATACCAATCAATTCTTAGCTGGGCTTGGAACCCAATTTCCCATCTTTTTTCGTCAGCATCAATCCATGATCTGAATCCAGGTTTTGACATCGATCTTGCCTGGCAAGCCATGTACAAAGATTCCTACGAGGTTCTTTTGGGGGGCTCGCTGAGAGATCACCGGAGCTGTCGAGTCTATGTAGATCATTTCCTAAGGAAACTCTGGGTTTTCTCTAGATCTTGATGTTTAGCCCAGGTTTTTCTATGTGGTTTCTGTTTGAGGAAAATGTCAGTGAGGATTTCTCTGTTGAACTACTTGGTTGTGCATACCAGTTTGTCAGCGGGTAATAACTATACCACAGTTATATATATATATACATTTTGAATACCACCAGTTGTATATGGGTGATATATATATATATAACAATAATATATATATATATGACAATAATATATATATATATAACAATAATATATATAACAATAATATATATAACAATAATATGTATATATATATCTAACAATAATATATATATAACAATAATATATAATATAATATAATATAATATAATATAATACAATATAATTTGATATAATATAATATAATATAACATAATATAATACAATATAACTTAATATAAAATAATATGATATAACATAATACAATAAAATAAAATTTAATATAATATCATATACTTTAATATAATATAATATGATATAATATACTATAATATAATATGACTAAATATAATTTGATATAATATAATACAATATGATATGATATAATATAATATAATTAGTACTATATAATATAAAGAATAATTATAATACAATATATTATAATGTAATATAATATATTATAATGTAATATAATATAGTATAATGTAATATAATATATTATAATATAATATATTATATTATAATATAATATATTGTAATATGATATAATATATTATAATATAATATAATATATTATAATATAATATAATATAGTATAATATAACATTATATAATATAACATTATATAATATAACATAACATAATATGATAATAATATCATATAATATATAATCTAATGTTATATATTTGATATAGTATAGTATAATATAATATAATGTAATATAATATAATATAATATAAAATATATATTATATTGTATTATAAAATAATATATATATAAGATATTGTATATATATATATGTATGATAATGTATATATATACATATGATATTGTATATATATATATATGTATAAGATATTGTATATATATATATGTATGATAGTGTATATATATACACACTATATTATATTATGTATACACATAATAGTTATAAACCACCTACTAACTAGGATGCACATCCAAGCATCATGGTTTCAATGGTTTCTTTCCAACCCCTGCAGGCCATAATAGCAACACGATTGCTGCAGAAACTTATTTCTGGTTTGAACACCCGCCAGATGCACCATGAAACCAGCCCAAAAGTATAGCCAGCCACAGGTCTCCTGGAGTCAGGTAATGGTTGCAGGTTTCAGATCTGTTCTACCTTCCATCCTACTAAATTGGAATGATCACTGATCCATCGGGCAACACATCGGAGGCGAGTGCAAGAATTGGCCATTTATAGTGGATTTACCCATTAAAAATGGTGATTTTCCATAGTTACGTTAGTTTACCAGAGGGTAAATCCCACTTAATTAGTTAGTTGATAGATGATTAGGTTTGTCTGAAAATTAGGCACCCCAAATCTCGGGGTTTATCACCGTTTTCCATCTTAAAATCACTGGTTAGATGGGAGTATATCATTGAATCATGGTATATCCTGTTTCCAAGCACCCTTTCTGGTAATATCAATTTATTCTCCCAAATTCTGGTACTGCTCTCCACAGGTTTACCCAGGGAAGGATTCGGCGCGCGGCAAGAAGCTCGGTTGCAGGCCGCTTCCACCCGCTATGGCCATGATGAGAGACCTGGTAATGTCGGAAAAGCAGGCCGCAAAAGGATCCAAAAATGTGGAACCGTCTTATGTATACATACATATATATATACGTGTATATATATATATATATGTATATATATATATATATGTATATATATATATATATTTACATATGGAGAAAACATCATCGAACTACAACCTTGGTTAAACACATTTCGATCTTTTCGGGGGGTTGCTGGTCAAAAAAACCCAAGAACCCCTGGTGAACACCAAACATAGCTGGTAAATGGATGTCCATCCCCCTATAAATGGTATTTATAGGTATTGATTCGTAGCCTTTGTAGATCGGTATAGATCGTGATTTACCCATGGTTTCACAAAGCTGGAAACAGAATAGAGGCTGGTGGAAACCAATCCCTCTCACACGTCTTGGCTGGTGGAAAATTTCAACCTCCTCCTATTTTTAGTTGCCACACAGCCCTGATTGTTGGGCACGCAATGTCAAACGGACATGGCTCCGATCCCATTGACCAGTCATTACGTGCAGAATGGTTGATGATGGTCGATCGGACGGTCGGACGTGTTGGGTTTGTACTGCAGTTTGCCTTGGGAATTTATATGAATTTATCGTATCCGGGATGCTTAGAAGCTCGAGATGCACCAGCCGTACGTCCAAGTACTATCTGCCCAGCCGAGGAAAGGTTTGGATGTTTACAAGGAGCTGCAATGGGGTGGAAGCACGGCATGTGATTCTCGGTGATCCACTGAAACCTACCAAGCCGGAAGCCCCACATATGAAAAACAGTTGAAGCATGTTTGACATCCCGACAAAAAAAAAGCCGCCATAACAGAGCAAATTTTTCTTGTAATCAACAAGATTCCAAAGAAATCCCATGCTTCCATATGTTCAAAGTTTTAGTCATATTGGAATGATCTTGGGGTGTATAGCATACAATGCAGCATACATTTCTGCCAGAGGATTTCCCCGGCAGCTAGGTTTCAGTTGACAGTCTTGGGTCCCTGGAATTTTCACATTTCGCCGGCTTAGGTCATAGGCATTTGGATCTATTGTACATGGATGCTCATGACACTGGAACGGAAAGAACCTGTGATTCGTTTGCCCAATTCATCCCTCCAATTGTTCGATATCAACACGGTACTTGATCCTGGATGGCTATTTGCCAGTTATGGTAATACCATTCTTCGGTTATAATTGGATCAATGTTTGCCCTGTATGAAAGATGTATACCCATTTTTCCTCACTTTTGGTGGGATACAAACCGCTACTGTAAGCAATAAATGTGCATCATGGCTTTCATTTCCTTTTTCGAGTACATATCCCTTTATGATTGTTGCTTGAATTCCCATTCGTGTTGGTGATTTTGTAGAATGATCCCAGTATATCCCAATTCCGGTTGAATCCCTGGTTGGTGCTTTGGAACATCCCAAAGTGACGAACTTTTCAGAGGGGGTAGGTATAGTATACTAGCAACCAGTTTTTCTTGGGATAATGATAGTTGTAGTTATAATATAACCAACAATAATCATATGGGTATGGGTCAAAACCTTGTACCCTGTAGTTCACATCAAAATAGCTGGGATTTATGGATGTTAATTCCCCCTATAAATGCTATTTATAGGTATTGATCCATAGCCATATGACTATCATATCCATATTGTTAGCTGAAGCCCCACTTTTCATGGCATCCCTCGGCGTTCACCATGAAGCCATCCTCCCAGAGCAATGGCTTCGTACCCATGGACGTGGGGATCGGCGAGGCCTTCATGGTTTACGCAGGGTTGCTGGATGGGTTGCTGGGGGTTGCTGGGATGAGAAAATTACTAGTGATGACTGGGATCATTCCCGAAAATTCCCTGCCACCAGGAAGGTTATGAGGATAGAATCATGGGAATTTAGATGAATTTGGTGTATCATGTATTTAGAATACCCCAAAGAATGGGATCATGATGTATTATGGGAGGATCATGTATCAATGTGTATCATGTTTAACTGGATGTTTCCATAAATGGGGATACCCCGGCCCATTTCCATGATCTTATATGAATTTATATGGGAATAGAATCATCAAATGGGAATGTTGGTTGGGAATATACTGATTATGATGAAAAGAGACTAGCCCTAATTTATCCTAATTTTATATGAAGGTTTCCATAAATGGCGAGACCCCAAAATGGATGGTTGACAGGGAACATCCTGTATTTACACCCTCATATAGATCATTACTGCTTTGCGCAGGTCTCCTCTGTTTCCGTTTCCCTCGCACCTTGCAACTTTTCCTTCTCGGGGTTGTGCTCGGCTTGAGTTAGAAAAAGCAGCTACAGAAAATCGGCAAATGTGAAATCTGCAGCAAGTCAAAATGCCTGACAGGTATGGTCAAAATGGAATGCATTCTGCACTCCTCCCTTGGGATATCGTGAGGTCATCCCAAGATTCAGGCTCAAGCTGCTTCTATTGTGCAAATAAAAGGAAAAAGATCTAACCTGCGCTCTCACCACATCCTTGGCATGCTGGAAACATCTTTTCTGGATCGCAGCGTGGGCATCTTGAATCCACGTGATAATCTCCACCCCAGTGATCAATCCAAAGTGGAACTCCTGGTGGTGGGGGTCACGCGTTTGAGCGGTAATGGCCCAGCAAATGCGACACCAGGCAGATTCTCGATTGGCTCCTGTCTGGACAGACGACAGGTACCTGCACTGGCTCTGATAGTGATAAACTCGGCCATACCGAGTGGTCAAAACTTGGAAAGCTGCTCTAGCTCTTTCCTCGCTGTTCTCATAGTTCTGGAATCTTTCTGGATTTCTCTGTGCTTCCTCGTAGAGGTTGGTTTCTTCATCTGCTATCTCCTGCATGACTCGATCCAAGTCGAACCCAGGGATGTGGCGCTCATCTAATGGACGATACGGAGTGTCCTCTGATGAAGAGGTTGAATCTTCAAGTGGCGAAGAAGACCCTTCGCCTGGTGGGAGGTACGTGGGTCGCTGCGGCGTGTGATCTGCCACAGCGGCCATCCCTTCACCACCCGGTCAAAGTACGTGGGTCGCTGTGACAGTTGTCCTGCCACAGCGGCCATCCCTTCACCACCATTTTCCTTTTCTTCTTCTCTTTGAGCAGCAGCACCTGCAGGGAGACTTCGGGAAGACGATCCAGCTTGGTTTGACCAAGACATTTCCAGCCTCCTTACTCCTACCTTCCACAAATGCTGGCTCACGATCGTGAGAAGCACGATGATCAACGCAAAAACGACCATCATGACTTTGAGCTCGAGGGTTGAATTTTCCTGATCTTCTTTTTCTGTTTCTTCATGTTCTCCTTTGGCAGCTGAGATCGCAGCAGCCAATGTGAGCAGCTTCAATGCTGCTGCTGCTTTCTGAATGCCTACGCCTTCTCCTTTTTCTTCAAAAACCTTCTCTTCTTTCTTCTCATGCTCTTTCGGTTGTGGTACTTGAACCAGGTTCATCTCCTTCTTCAAGTACCTGATTCTTTCTGAAGCTAATGGCTTGGTGCCAATGTCAGCGATCATTTGATTTCCCGCGACATGTTGAAGAAACCAGGTGCCCTGCAAGATTGAACTCCTGGCAGCTGATGCTCTCAGTCGCAAATGACGTGTGCGCCATGATCCTCCGTCAGTGGTCAAAATTGATTGGGCAGACTGAGAATCTGTCCAAGATTTTCGCTGCAGAGGGCCAAACAGCTCATCAGCTATGGCACCAATTGATTCTCCAGCCACCATGCTCTCCACAATCTCCATCATCTCCGCTTCTGCTGTGCTGAGCGTCACAAAACTTTGACGACCACTTCGCCAAAAAACAGGGCAAGAAGCTACCATGATGATGAAGGCTCCGTGGCTGACATCTCCTTCAGGTGCAAAACTGGCGTCTGACATGGCCTCAATCATCAAGGTCTCTGCTCCAGCAGCATCAAAGCAGATGCCTTCATCCATAGTGCTTTTGAGATACCCCTTGATCTGCTGGTAGATCTGGAGGACCTTCTGAGGGGCCTTCGTGACGCAAGAGCCCATCTTTGAAACGGCATACATGAGGTCCAAGCGGGTGCGTGTCACCAGCCAGAGCATCTCACCGGTGGCTTTCTGAGCTGAACGAATCAGCTCTGGTGTTCTTCCTTCTTCCTCTGGAAGTTGACTCTGATCTTTTGTGATTGGGATCTTTCTGTCTGGAGCTTCTTGATCTTGCGCAAGAAGGTCCTTGATGTAGGACTGTTGGTTGACATACCAAACGTCGCGATTCTTGGTGACATCAAAGGTCTTTGAGATCTCGACGCCTAGGAATCGTATAGGCTTTTCTCCTACTTGATCTGGTTCTGAGGTGGTCCAGATAGTTCTGACCTTTTCCATGACGGCATCTACCACCTTTCGACTTCCAGTGACCAAGATGTCATCGACATATGTCATCAAGAGCCCTTTCAATGGCAGCGGAGCAAAGTTCGACTGAGTGTCAGACTCAGCTTTTTCCACGTTTGATTATCGTATTTCATTCCCATCAATTCCTCATAAGTCCAATGATATTCCCATGAAATCACGGTGCTGATGGAGATCTACGATTCCAACTCCAAGTAAATATCACCAAAATCTATATTCCCATAAAAATCCTATGATTTTCCATTAATTCTGATGATTTCCCATGAACTTCAGTAGCTCTGACGACCACCTGCAGCCCGGTAGCTCTCATGGAGGCCTTAGAGTCGATGTATGACGTCAAGACGGGGCTCATGGGGCATCGAAAGAAGAACAAGGAGCGTTGTAGATGATCTCGCTATCCCATGACGGATCCATGGTGCTGATATATGGCTATGGGTCAATACCTATAGATACATTACTATAGTGGGTTATTCACATCCATTTTAACCCAGCTATGACTTGGGGTTCACTAGGTACCAGGGTTTTGACCCATCCCCATATATGGTATCATAATAAAGGGGGTATTTCTTGATGGGATCCATATGGATCCATGGCACAGCATATATATAGCAGCACCGTTAGGATCCGTCATGGGTATTAAAACGTCTGGTATTTTCCTTTGCTATGTGTAAAAAAACCTGGTTTTTTACAGAGGCGGTAGTACCTAGAGGATTGTCCCACCAGAGGATCACTTAAAAATACCACATCGGCTGTTTCAAACCGTCTCCAGCATCCCATGGAGTTTTTTGATCACCAAAAAATGTCACGAAAAGATGATATTAAAACATATTACCCTCTGGTTATTTAACATAGCCATGGAAAATGGCCCATTTATAGATGGTTTACCTATTAAAAATAATGATTTTCCCATGGCTATGTTAAATAACCAGATGGTAAAACTAAAACAATGTCTTATTCGACTCCTGGTTTTCCACATGTTTGAATGTGAAAAATGTCCGTCCCGGACGGATGGTCCTTGCCGGATCAGATTCAGGATGTTTTTCAAGTGGCTGTTGGCTATGTTTCCCGGGTGAATCCAGCTACTGTTGGCTATTTTTCATGCTACTCCCAGGTGAGGTCATGCTGTTTGTCATACAGATTTGCATCTCCATTTCTCAATGGTTCCGAAGGAGAACTCAAATGGATCCAACCTGCAAAAAAAATGGTCCAAAGGCAGCTCCTGACCAAGCACCACCCTTGGAAAGCAGGGCAAAAGATCAGGGTTTGTGAGAAGGTCCCCAGTCATGATCAAACGCAAAAGTAGGATTTTCGCCCATGAACCTAGCTATGGATCAACATGATCAAAAAAGGATGGCTTTTGAAATCTTTACACTTTTTGATTAGCTGTAGTGCAATGAATGGGATTATATACAGTAATACATATTGGTACGCATATTATGACCAATCAACTTCTGTGAATGTTGATATTGTGACCAATCAGCTACTACAGAATCTGGTTGGTGGTTTGGAACATGTGGCTTATTTTTCCATAAAATATGGAAGAATAATCCCAAGTGACTTTCATATTTTTCAAGATGATCTAAGATGGGTTGAAACCACCAAGCCGGGGCGGCAAGGAGTTCGTGGATGAACCGCCTGAGACCTGGGGCGATTGCTACACAGAGGCGGAGTTCCCATCATCTCACCCTTGGACTCGACTCATGGTTCTACGAAGGAAAATGATGGTGGTTTTGTCCGAACATTGGGTTTAAATATGTTTTATAATATATGTTTTACTAAGGAAATTATGAACAATTATGATGACTCTATTTTTAGACACACCTATATGATACTACCACTGGTCGGTTTTCCATATGGCGAATTTGGCAGGGCCCGGAAGTTTGTAAGAACAAGGGTCGCCCATATCTGGTGTCTACCTTTGACGGCTGGCGAATGTGCAACTTTTGCATTCTGAATTGCCATGAATGGGAATATTTTTCTTCACCGGCTGAAATAGTGATGAGTTTCGCAGGGGCCATTTTCGATTGGTCATTTTCGAAAGGGCCGTTGACGTTTGCTGTCTGATCCCTTAGTGCCGCTCATGCTCGACAGAACCTGTGCCAGGTCTGACTTGAGCTTGAAACAGTTGTACAGAGACAACACGATTTATTTTTTTCAAGAAATGACGTAAACATACGTAAAATATGTATATGATTCAGTATGATTCAGTATGATTCAGTATGATTCAGTATGATTCAGTATGATTCAGTATGATTCAGTATGATTCAGTATGATTCAGTATGATTCAGTATGATTCTGATTACATCATGTTAATGTCATATTGCCCTCTGGTTATGACTAACATAGCCATGGTTAAGCCATGGACCTAATCGAAATAGATGGTTTACCGTTCGGTGCAGGGCTCGGCTTGGCATCACTCCTTTCCACCCTTTGACTTGGAAACGCTGGCGGCCGCTTGTTGGAGCAATAAATGTGCTGTGCTATGGTTAAAAAAACAAAGCCAATTTGATGCCAATGGGAGATGAATTTTTGATATTTATTCGGGATCTAGGTTCAGTTTAAGAACTGTATATATAATTATATATAATCATATATATATATATATATACAACCGAGAACCCTGGTTTTTAATAGCGAGAACCATATGATTCATAGGGATGATTGCATTTTTATGACTGGTGAAGATGTTTTTGACATGGAAAAGATAGGGGAAACATGGGGAAACAGAAGGTTCATGGGACATGACAGGTGGCATTCACCAAGAGAAATGGGATGAACTGCAGAGCTTTGGTCAACGTATCCGATTTGTCGCCAGTGAACCACTGAAGCTTTGAAACAAAGTCGACAAAAATGAGAGCCACCCGGAAATGATAAAACATGAAAATCGCATGGTAGAACCGTATCCTTGTCAAAAAACCACTAAATTCTACTCATATTTCTTGGGATGTTCGCTTTGGATTACTTTGTTTCGCTTGTTGGGTTCAAACACTTTCTACCCTCTGAAAAACTAACATAACTATGGAAAATCACCATTTTCAATGGGAAAATCCACTATTTCTATGGCCATTTTCAATAGCTATGTTAAATTGCCAGAGGGTATATCTTTCCATGTTCTCTCCCCAAAGTTGCGAGGTTGGGGGCCCCCCCAGCTGTTTTTCATGGCCCGGTTGAAAAACCAAGCCCCGTCCTAAGAGGAATGGCTTACGTTGTCTCCGTGGATAGTATGACATGTATACATGTATATATGTATACATGTATATATTGATATAGATATATAATATATAATAGATAGATAGATATATATATATATACAATAGATATAATATAGATATAATATAGATATAATATAGATATAATATAGATATTTGCACAAAAACTATAGACACATGATGACACATGTACTGTATTTCCATATAATGATACATATGCAATATTGATATATATATATATATTATAGATATTATATAGATATTTCATCCATGTTAATCCCCCAAACAACGAAAAAAAACGGCCGGCAAAAAACGAGGAACTCCACGGTGGGAAGCGACCGTTGCTGGAGAAGTTGGAGACGCTCTTCACGGTGGGATGACCCATTGTATGGCTGGTTGGGAATTCATGGTGATTCAATGGTGGTTTAATGGGATTTCCGGGGATTCAATGTGGATTTAATGGGATTTAATGGGATTTCATTGATTTATGATGGTAAAACTTATGAAATCCCATTAGATCCCATTAATGATGGTGTTAATCTAGGGGCGATCTAATGGGATTTCATAAGTTTTTTTGTGGGATTCAATGGGATTGAATGTGATAAACCATGGTTTGGAACTGGCTTAATGTTGATTTTTAGCAATAGTAAACCATCCCCAATTTCTCCATTATGATTGTTTTACCCCCATCAATGATGACTTAGGGGGCGATTTGATGGTGGTTTAATGGGGACGAACAATGGTGATGTATGATTTTTCATGAGCCACTTTGATATGAGAGTTGGGTGTGTCAAATTGGGGATTTACACCAGTAAAAAGGGCTGTTTTAGGATGGAAGTGGATAGTGGGTTGTTCACCAGTGGATCGAATGAGGTCGCCTATTTTAAACAGAGGTCACCATGTTTGTTGGTTGATAACTGCTGATGTTTGTGTATTTCTTTGCTAAAAGTGGGGTAACATGGTGTATGCTTACTCAATATCCCGGATAAGGATCCCGATCTCGATGGCAAAAAGCATCTCCATGTTTGTTGGTTCATAGTATCATAGTCACAGTCACATTCGTCTTGGTTGATATGCCTATATGCCTATATGTCATATGATCCCGTTAATTGTGAACATCTCCATATTAGTTGCTGAATATGTCCATTCCTTTCGATTGATATCACCGTATTTGGATGTCAAATCTCTCTTTCTTGGTGGGTCGAATTAGACGATACCTCACTGGCAGTGATTCCCGCACTCTAAATATGACAACTTCGAACGAGCCCTTAGGCCCTTGTCAGGTGTTTTTTCATGCTTTTTCTGTCTCTGTGAATGCAGTAAGACTACTTACAACTGGTTGGTGGCTTGGAACATGAATTTTATTTTTCCATATTCTTGAGAATGTCATCATTCCAACTGACGAACTCCATCATTTTTCAGAGGGGTTGGCTCAACCACCAACCAGACAATGTAGAAAGCTTGGTCGCCGAACTCTCGCGCCATGGGCTGGTCAAGCTTGGGTAGTTTAGAAACTGAGAATCTTCTGCCAACGGGATGTATAAATAGGTTTGAATAAACATATATAATCATATATATATATATGTATATGTAGCTAGCAGACATGTATAACAATTATGATATATATATGATTCTATAGATATAGAGCTGTATGTATATTTGGATGAGTTCTAACAACGTCACTTCCACGTCACCCAAAATGGCCGAACTTTTCCGGTTGTTGAAGTGTTGCCATTCATCTCGATATACTTGTACTAAGAATCCGAAATGATTTATACGGTAGTTTACGGGAAACCCCCATATTTCATGGAGAAAAACCCAGGATTTCCGGTCAAGAATTTCCCATGAAAACCAATCCAGCAAAGGTGTCTAAGATTGACCGTGAGAAATGTCGTTCCAAGAAATTGCAGGTGCCAGCGGACTTCAAGACGGGCTCCTACAAAGTGGCCTGGCGTGGAAGCGACAATGGCAAGAACATGCAGGAACTCGTGTGGTAAATCCTTCATCAACCATTATAAACCAATATATGGATATTTGATGATACTGTATTTCATGAGAGATTGCAATTGACAGTGATTGTCAACATGGCATTATTCATGAAACAACAATTGACAATATGGATATATTTTACAACACCGGGGTTAATTATATAGATATATATATTATTTATATTATGTTGGTTACTTATTTATTTCTTTATGGATGTCAATCATATAATCATATATGTTATGATTTTGGGGACGGGCATAAATTGGTGAACGCGAATGCTGCAATCGCTATGCATGATTTCTATAGGCTACATGTAGGTAGATACTTAGAGAATGGTAAATGCAACATACCCTCTGGTAATTTAACATAGCTATTGAACATGGCCATTTATAGTGAGTTTTCCCATTAAAAATGGTGATTTTCAGTAGTTTTTTGTATGTTTACCAGAGGGTACATTGATGAGTTTGGTTGTGAATCATGTGTGACACGAGGCGGAAATCCACGAAATGCGCGAAATGCGCATGCTTGGAATGGGCCTCTCGGTCTGTTTTTCGGGCGTTGGATCGTTGTGCCTAGAGTCAAAACTGTGGCTGTGTCTCAAGTCATTTGATATCCCATATTGAAATCTACCATCTTTCTGAAATATGATGGGATCTATTCACATCATTTTGAAGATGCGTGGATTTTTGTGCTCCAGAATGGCTCCAGGGAACTCCAAGGTCAGTATGCACACAACAATCAGCCTGCGCATCATCTTCCATACCTGCTCCTTGGCGCCAGATCCCCATCTTCCTCGAGCATCATGATTTTTCGGATCTCGGCTGTGCTCGTCTGAAAAACCATCTTTGGCTTGCTGAAAAAACCCCGAATTTTTCTTGCTCAAAGATCGCGCTAAATGGTCAAAAATGGTCAAAATATCATAAAATATCTACTTACTGCACCATTCTGAAGATGCATATCCAACTGGAATCAATACTGTAGTCACATTTCCCTGGTCAAATCGCCATTTTTCATCAGTGAATGTGGGATGCTTTCTAGCTTATCTGAGTTTGTCCCAAGACGGAGTAGATATGAGTAGATTACCCTCCGGTAATCAAACATGGCAATGGACAATCCCTCCATTTGTAGCTGGTTTTCCCATATTTTCCCATTATCACAAATTCCCTATTATTGTTCAAATCCATATGTATGCCATTAAATCCCATCAATTATATCTAATGTTTCCCATCTACAATCAAACCAAAGAAAAGAATATCACATCATCATTTCCACTCTTTCCCGAATATTTCTATATGTTTTGGGACACCCCCAACCCCACGTGGGATCTCCTTCCGCGGCTCCCGAGATTCTCGATGTTGGGCGATCAAAACCGCACCGCTCGGCTGGTGCGGGACGTCCTTTTTCGCGCCTACTCGCCCGAGGGCTTCGCTGGGGACGAGGCTGGTAAACTAACAGTTTGCTATTGAACATGGCCATTGAAATAGTGGATTTACCCATGAAAGATCGTGATTTTCCATAGTTATGTGAACGTTTACCGGAGGGTAATTCCCATAATAGTTTGTATAGGACATGGTTACTGTATAAGATGGTATAAGAATTATACATATTTTGGGATTATTATATATAAGATAAATGGTATAACATGAGGTATCCAACATTTACATCATTTACCATATTTTGGGATGATTATCCAATCTTATAATTACATGGCTATTTGTGAATTATCAAACGAGGTAACCCAACATTTACCCAAATGGTACCAAAATAGGACAATTACCATAAATGATGATAAATGGTACTCCCCGAAAAGAGTAAACCAGGACTTTCAATTGGTACTTGGATATGTTTTCTCATGTCAAATCCCGGTAGCCCTGCTGCGAGGACAACGGGGAGATGGGTTCCTGGTATGTGCTGAGTGCCATGGGCCTGTACCAGCCTGTGTCCTGGCTTGAGGTATTGAGCAAAACTCATGTGTTTTGTGGCTTTTGTATGACGAATGATTGCGAACATAATATATATATTTGATGTATGAATAATCTTTATGATTTATATGCATATTTATGAATTTATGATGAATGTTGCGGTAAGTTTTGGTGACTGGTAGGCTGTATGTTTTCATTCTTAGCTGTACATGGTGGGCGATTGTGTTTATGTGCTGTATCTGGGGTAGCTGGAAATTTGGTATCCAAACCAAACGGGCATGCTACTGCCACAAAGGAGTAGCAGCCGTGTGGTTCCAGGGTCGCGGGTTTTGACCCAAACATCCCAAAACCAACACAGTTTCCCACCTTGCGGGAACTCAAAATATGTTCAAAAATGAATGTTTAAAAACAGCGGTTGACTGTTCTTTGATAGTCTTTTTTTGTTGGTAAACTTTGGTAAATCATTTTTTTTTTGTACCGAATTCTTTGATGTTCATCGGCGACATCGCCGGTTGGCTGCAAACGGTCGACCCGTTGTGGTTGACTCTATGATGGTTATCATCATCAGATTCATGGTTAGCATAATTTAATAATCAGATTGTACCCATGTGATTATGATGATTACATAATTGTACCCATATTTAATTTCATAATCAGATTGTATAATTTCCGAATTACTAACTAGTACTAACTAAATGTGCCGGATGAGTTTGGGTCCGGGTCTAAAGTTCATCAAATCTGGCAATTTCTTATATGCATTTTTGCATCACAGGCACTATCCAGATGATTGATGAAATACGGAGGAAATCAAGTATTTGGCCCATGAAGTCTAAATGCATAGCGATTTCAAATCCATAAAAATCATTCTGAACCGAAACCCATAGGCGCAACAATTCAAACTTGGATGTTTAAATCATTATCCATAAGAGCTAGACAAGACTTAAATGCAGCAATTGAATCCATAAACACACGGCATGAAAAAAAATAAACATATGATAAAATTGCCAGTTTACGATCAATACTAGGATGAACCACATCATCATCATCATCATCATCATCATCGTCATCGTCATCGTCATCGTCATCATCATCATCATCATCATCACCATCACCATCATCATCATCATCATCATCATCATCATCATCATCATCATCAGCATCATCATCATCATCATCATCATCATCATCATCATCATCATCCCAGCTGTCTTACCATTTTTAAAACAATAAGATGATGGTAAGATTTTTAAAAAACGGTAATATCATTATTGTCATTATATATCATTGATATCATTATTACCAGTTATCATTATCATCCCAGTTGTCTTACCATCCCAGTTGTTACGAAAACCTGGATCTTTCGGAATCGGCTTAAGTTGCCCAGGCCCCCGGCGTCGCGGAGAACTTCACGCTGGGCGCTGTGCCACTCTTCCCTCGCATCAGGCGGCACCCGTGGTGGTTTCCATGGGTTGATGATGGTGAAATATGGTGGTTTCCTATGGGGGTACCCTCCAGTAAAGTAACGGTTTGCTATTGAACATGGGCCATAGAAATAGTGGATTTACCCATTGAAAATTGTGATTTTCCATAGTTCTGTAAACGTTTACCAGAGGGTACCCCTCAATCATCCATTTTAATATAGGGATTTTCCACTATAAACCATCTTTTTTTGGGGTACCCTCATTTATGGAAACCCCTGGTTAATGTAAGTTCATGTGGTAAACCCAATTTCATAAACCATCCCCAAAACCACAATTTTTATGGAAGGTAGTAGAAACTAAACCATGCCAAAATGGTAGGTTTCTGGTATTGGGTTGCCCACATTCGGAATTTTGCTTACTGAAATTGCCATACAAAGGTGGTTGAATACATTAATAATCCATCTAACATTTCGTTGTTTTCACAATTTTATAAACATGATCAGAGATTGGATTAAAATTGGTGTATCAATTGGAATATTAAGAGGAAATACATGTGGAAATATAACCATCAAAGTGGGTTATGGGTTAGAATGGCAGGAAAAGCAACTACCAACTATACTAGTAGATAGAAAAATTGGGAAACCGGGAAACTATGTGAAACATACAATTTGTAGACCATCTTGAATATTAGTTGAGTTTCATCATTGTCGCTGCTGGCTATGACTGGGGAAGTGCAATCCCCCAGTCTTGGGCAATGGTGTATGGACTCAATGTAACATCTGCATGAGTTCCCGCGTTTTCTCCCACCAAATATGGTGGTTTCCTGTAGATTTTGCCCTTAAACAAAATCCACGGAACTGGGAATGTAGGGAAAACAATTGTGGAGGATAAATAGTCGGGTTTCCACAGGTGTTTGAATGCTGTTTTGTTGGCAAATGTCCGTTTTGGTGATTTTGAACATCACCTTTGAATACTTATATTTGGACATTGAGAACATATCATAATTTGTTAGTTTTCGGATTGATGATTCGCTGATATTCGCTGATAAAAAATCATAATTTCGAGGAGTCCAACATATTCCAACATATTCCAAGAATCTTTGGGAGAAATTGCTGGTGGTGTTGGGTGACTGTCGGGTGACTAGGGTGACTAGCCCATTTCTGGCATGAACATTTTGGTGCCTGGATTTGTGGCTGACATAACATGGAGGGAACATCCACTGAAATGGACCAAAGGGAAATCCAGGTATAAACTAAGGATCAAGGATGATATTATAGTAATTCACATATATATATATAACAAAATATATACTATTGAGTATATATATATATGTATAACACTATGATATATTATGTATAGATACCATGATAATATGTATATATAATATATATATAGTTACATATCAAAATCCCGCCCATTGAATCCCTATTTTCATGGTGAACTCCCAGAGGCTATGGGAGCTGGACGTGACCGTGGAAGCGCCTTCGGCCAGCGAGGTCTACCCCAGCATCCAGGTCTACTGGGGATACCCACATGGCGAGTGGAAAAAGAAGCCCCCGTTGATGGTTGATTATTTGGGGTTATACTACCTGCAGATGACATGGGAGTTGTCGGACATACCTAAAAAACGCAAACTCCCATGTCATCTGCAAAGTGAAAAAAACAGAAGAATGCATAAGTCCCGTGTCATCTGTAAAGTGCCTCGGAAAAAAAAAAATCACATGACATGGGACCTCTGCAATTGTTTGGGCTCCAAAAATATGCAAAACATGTCATGTCAACTAACTCACACTCTGTACACTTCACATCCCACATGAACAAAGATAGTATATGAGTGTATAACTACCTGCTAGCAGTTAGAATAATCCAAAATTATACGTCAGCAGCTGGAATATTCCAAAGCCACATGAATCCATTCACCTCCTTGTTCTATTTAGCAACTATTTAGCAGCTATTCAGAAGCTATTTAGCAGCTCTTTAGCATTTATTCAGCAGCTATTTACTTGCTATTTAGAAGCTATTTAGCAGCTATTTCGATGCTATTTAGAAGCCATTTATCAGTTATATATATCTGGGTAAATCATGACTAAGGGAAATCATCCCCAAGTGGCCGCAACTATTCAGGTTAGTGAAATATGATAATTTACCCATATATATATATATAATATATATATTCCAATATGTATATATATATATATATTCCAATATGTATATATATATATATATTCCAATATGTATGTATATATATATATGATTATATTCCATATTTTATTAATTGTATATTTGTGATGGTATTATCACAATCGCAGATGGGAGACTTTGGATCACCCTGAGACCGTGCTCAGTGAAGGGACGGTAGAGGGTTTTGAACACCGCGCAAACAACAAAAAGGGATGTTCACCTGGCAAAAGTAGGATTTAGGATGGATTAAACATGGATTTTAAAGGGATTTTGCCCGACACACTGTGGGATTTTCATAGTTGGTTCACCATCCAGTTTTTTTTGGTGCTGCTACGTTGATCCTAAAGCCCAAGCACCAAAAAAGACCAAGAACACATTGAAACCATCCAAATTTAGGGAAGATAAGGTGTGTTTTTTTTAAGGTTTGTTGTGCAAAAACTAAGAACTAATAGTAACTATAGGAATCTAAGGAACACAAAACTGTTGAAAATTTCCAATGTTTTCCTGACTTTTTTTTTCTTCGCTTGGTAGCACGGTTCCTCCAGGCCGTGCTGTGGCGTTCCAAAGCCATTGCTGGGACATCGATCTCCTACTCGCAACTGCGCCACTGAGTCGAAGTTGGGATAATTGGACCTGAAATCATGGAATTTGATATATGTCATATTAATACGTCTATATCTATATGGCATGATATTATAATATATATATATATTTACAGATATACATATATATATATATATATGTTATATATGTATATGTTATATATGTATATGTTATATATGTATGTATATATATATGTAATTTGAAGATATTTCAAGACTTTTGTTCGAACTCCATTCTGGCGTCATCTCCATATTCTCGTGATTCATGGTTTCGTCCATTGTCGGAGATGATGTTCCTGGATAGAATGTTCGAATCACTAAGAGTGTGGGTGTTTGGGTGTATGGCATACGCATATGGTAGAAATACGGTGGATGGTTGCGAAATCCTGCACCAGTTGATAGATGGTTTATCCCATTGTTTATAGGGTTTCAACCATCCAAGGTGGTGCAGGATTTCTTCCATCCACAGTATCAGCAAAAAGATTCGTATTCTTTACCAGTGAACAGATGTGTCACTGTGTCACCAACTATCACCCATAAGATGGGTCTACCGAGTCTGCAAAATGCACAGTTGACCAATATCGCCGCGAAATGGCCGTTTTTAGAGCTGTGTCGTTGAACATATGGGTATGTCGGAAAATAGGGTAATTATCCCCAATTCCAGTGGTGAATGTGGTGAATATCATTTTGATGATCAATTTTGATATTTTTTTGGATATTGATGATTTATATTTGATAATTAGTTTCTCAATTTTTGGATGGTTAGTTTTGAATCATTTGGAGGTTTCCTAAAATGGGGGTACCCACATAATACATATTTTGATAGATTTTTCCATGAAATAAACCATCCAGGTATTGGGGTACCCTCATTTCAGGAAACCCCATTATCACCAATTATTAACCATTAGTAACCATCATTAACTTTATATATTAGCCATATATCAGCCATATTTTGAGGACATCCCCATATTTAATGATCATTTTCCGGTAGGTCCCCACCTGAGCTCACCTGGTCAGGCACCGGCGGCATCTTGCGCTTCTTGTCCCCAGAGGATTCCTCCTTTGGCAACGTCGCCACTTGGAACGCGGTGACGGCGGTGAGTCTTGAGGGGAAGGCACCCATCCATCGGTGGGCCATTCTGCCGAAGCTGAATTTTGGGATTACAGTAAAATAGATATTAATAATTGGGATAATAATTGGGATTATAATATTATTAAGTTATTATCCGAAGCTGAATTATCATTTAATAATTGGGATAATAACCCAGGGATGATGCGCATGTCTCCTCATAATTCCTAATAGATATTATGCCAAGCGATGATAGGCTGCATATTACAAAACTGATTGTTTTCATCGATTTTTTCAAAACATCCCCTCCCCTCTTGGGATACCCTCTGGTAAACATACAAAAAACTATGGAAAATCACCATTTTTAATGGGAAAACTCACTATAGTAAATGGTCATTTTCCATAGCTATGTCAAATTACCAGAGGGTAAATGGGGATTGATTCCACCCGATTTTTTTCGCCTTTTTTTATCGGCCAATTCAGGTGTCTTCCTTTCGAGGGGCCTTCCAACGAGCAGCAAAGCAGGTGGGGTTTTGCAGCCCTGTTGGGATGCTTGGTTGGTTGGGTGTCACAACTTGTGCTTCTCATTTTGGCGCAGAATCCGGGAATGGGACTTTTTTTGCGATATAATCGACTTGATGTAGGATAAATCGAATGCAAAAGGGATGGTGAAAGATGAAAGATCCACATGGATGTGAATGAACATCAAAGATACTTCAGTGCAATGAATATTATGGGATATTATGGGAATGGACAGACAATCCCAAATTATTGGAACACCAATCACATGGATGATCTACAAACAATATGTCACGACATGTAGTCAGCCCGAACATAAGCAATTTCGGATTTAGCTGCTTGAAGAGAATTTAGGTTATTGCAAACCATACTCAGTTGCGGTTTACGTCTACATAGGTCGTACCACATCAATATGTCTACTTACCACCGAAACAATGGTATTGAATCCATCAAGCATGAATCTGTACCAATAAAGGGGAGTTCAAAGAAGAACAATGCAGATTTCAACCAACCACGACCAACAACTAAGTGGGTGTTTGAGCAATGGAACCAAAGTCAGAATACAACTCGTGATCAGGGATACATATGACAGAATGTATGTCAGAATATACATATATATATATATATACGTCACATGAATTTTGCAAGATCGAATGTTAGAATATACGTTAAAATACATGATGTCAAATTATATTTCAAGTGAAATTTGCCAGATCCAATGTCAGACTCTATGTCAAAGCTCATGTCAGAGTTGATGTCAGAATATTTGCCCGAGTGCCTTTCAGAAGGAATATACGTCTGAAGTTTGTCAGAAGATAAGAAGATTGAAGATACGTCAGAAAATATGTCAGAACAAATCTCAGAATATATATATATATAGTTATCAGGAGAAGTGTCTGAACCCAACATATGTCAGCTTGTGAGAATGTTTACATGGGATCATCGTTTTTTCGATCCTTGCAAGGTGCTGTCCCATAGTTAGCTAAGTATCACTAGGTTACCCTATTGTAAACTAACATAGCTATGGTAAATCACCATTTTCAATGGGTAAATCCACTACAAATGGCCATTTTCAATAGCTATGTTAGTCATTACCAGAGGGTACCTAGGGTTATGATAAAAGGACAAAGAACTGGGGGGGCACCACCTTTCAACATCATGAAACATCCCATGAAAAATCCTCATTCTACCACCATCAAATTCGTGATTGAACCATTTTTTGAACCACTATTTCCCATCATTTTGGCCGCTTCAATCTCATCTCGTTGGCGGTTTGGAACATTTTTTATTTTTCCATATATTGGGTTTTTCATCATCCCAACTGACTTTCATATTTTTCAGAGGGGTAGGTATACCAGCAACCTGTCATGAAATCCCCATGAAGTCCCACTTGAACTCCTCTATTTGTTCTTTTGTTGTTGCTTCAATCGCCACGTTCCGCAACGGAAAATGATCCAAGTCCGCAGGTCCGCAGCAGAGCGGAGCGCTCCGTCGAGGGCGCGGCGGGTCAAGCGAGCGCGCTGCCGGCACCGTCGGCAGTGCTGGTGGATGACGTGATGGTCGACCCAGAGGTGGGGGGTCCTCCGGATGCCACATTTTAGCCCAGATGGTATGGCACACCCTTTCATTTTGAACATACAGACATATACACACACATACACATACATATATAATCATGTATATATATATATATGTATGTATGTACATACATGTACTTAAATAAACGTATATATATATATATATTATATATATAGATGGTGAAACCAGAAATTTTTAGCTGAAATATTTCTAGGTGTGGGGGCGGGGGAGACCCCCCTCCCTTTTTGAAATATTTCAGTTTTTACCCCCCCCACCCCCCCCGCCCTTTAAGGGGGGGATGTTGTACATGTTGTTTCCCATTGATTTGTATCCACCATTTGGGGAATCCACCGGGATTGCTTTTTACTTGTTTGGTTGCTCTAAAGTTCTAAAGCAAATCCAAGTGATGCTTCTAGGGGGGTTGATGCTTTCAGAGTTTGGCAATTTTAGGGTTTTTCATGGGGTGGCATTTCTTCTGGGAGGAACCAACGATTAGATGATTACGGTAACTGGTACCCAAGCCACCAGGAATAATAACTTCAGGTGATGTTGGTTGGGAGTCTGCTTGGGGATGTTTTTTTTTGGGGGGTGTTGGTTGGGATGTTTTTTGGGTTTAGGCTATTTAGGTATAGGTTAGAGATCATTTTCCAACAAGATGGGGATCTGGATCAGTCAGCTTTGCTAAAATCTGCGGATTGGATGGAAACTTAAATGAATTTGAACAATGAACCAGAAAATCGCTGTAGATGTATGTTCGACTAAATAGAATGATGTATTCAATATATCTGAATTATGGTAGGTCGTATCCGCACATTTTTTTAAAAGCAACATCATGTTTTATCCCAATTTCTTATGTCAATCCCCTAGAATTATTGTTAGCCATTTGTAGCTTCGCCATACGAGTAGATATACTAGGCCTGTCTCAAGAATTATAGCCCCCCCCGAATTTAATGGGTTTTCACCCTTTTCCATGTTAGAATTACCATTTCCGTATATTCCCATCATGAAACCAGGTCGCAGATGTTTAGAACGCATCCAATAAACACGAAGAAACCGCAGAAGTTAATAATGGTAGAAACCCATCTAAAATCATGTTTGTTTCTATAGATATTGCTGTAATCGAGTTTAACTAACGCATCTTTCCAGTGGAAAAAACCACTGGTTTTCACCAGCTGTACTGTGGAAAAACCGGCTTAGCGGCTAGACCTTGACGAAGCGTCCGTTTGTGAGTGGCATTGCCAATGTTTCAGAGGCTGCTGGGATTTGGAATTGTCTGGTGTTTCAAGGGAAGTGTTGAACAGATTCTGGTGGCATTGCCAATGCTTCAGAGTGTGGTTTTGGTCGTTGTTCAGAAATTCTGGGTTCCGTTTGAACGCAATTCTGTGGAATTCAGTTGCCTGATTTTGACATGGCTTCGATGGATTCTTTGGCAATTTCCGGAGGGTACCCTGTGACCATCTATCAACGGGAACTGATCAACCAGTCGAATTTTGGGGTACCCGGACCGGGTACCCTATGGCCTGAGGCAACCCCACAGGGTTTGAAAGTCAGTAATGACCAGTTTGCTTCGGAAACTAACAATGACTTTATTCCAGTAGAAGCATGGTTTTTCAAAATTCCAAATCCATTTCTCGGCGTTCCATGAGGTTTTACAGGAGTAACCCGCATGATTTTTATGTACAACCAGTGTTTGAGCAGCAAGATTTGGAATGATACCAACGAAGATCCCAGACACAAGTATCCAATGATTAGAAAGCCACCAACAAAATGTGGATAGATAAATAATCAGTAAACTTCCGGGACAAACTTCCGCGACACACTTCAGGTTTTCCAACAAAATTTCAGGTGCCCCGTAGAGGGGCCCCCGCCCTGCGCGGGTACCAGGCGTCACATGGCAATTTCCTCTCCATCTGCAGCGTGGTGTTGGTCCTCGGGGCAGCCGTGCTGTCCTATCGCTGGAGGTGAATGATGACTGGGGATGGTCGCGAAAACAACAACAACTGGCGTATTACCACATGAAATGATGAGTTATAAGATGTTATAAGATGTTATACGATGTCATAAGATGTTAATAAGATGTTATAAGATGTTGTAAGATGTTATAAGATGTTATAATACGTTATAATATGTTATAATATGTTATAAGACGTTATAAGATGTTATAAGATGTTATAATATGTTAAAATTATATTATAATATGTTATACGCTGTTATAAGATGTTATATGATGTTATAAGATGTTATAAGATGTTTTACGATGTTTTACGATGTTATAAGATGTTTTACGATGTTTTGCGATGTTATAAGATGTTATAAGTTATAAGATGTTATACGATGATATAAGATGTTATAAGACGTTATAAGATGTTATAAGGGGTTATAAGACGTTATAATATGTTATAAGATGTTATAAGATGTTATAATATGTTATAATATGTTATAAGATGGTATAAGATGTTATACGATGTTATAAAATGTTATAATATGTTATAAAAGGTTATAAGATGTTATAAGATGTTATAAGACGTTATAAAATATTATAAGATGTTATACGATGTTATAAAATGTTATAAGATGTTATAAGATGTTATAAGATGTTATACGATGTTATAAAATGTTATAAGATGTTATAAGATGTTATAAGACGTTATAAGATGTTATAAGATGTTATAAGATGTTATAAGATTTTATAAAATGTTATAAGATGTTATATATATAATCTTATTGATGTTGTGCTGCTGTTTTTGAATAAGTTCACCAATGAAATATCATAAACTATATAAAGTATCAAATAATTGAATCTAACTTTACAGTTTATGTTTTGAATTATTTCAAATTGGGTTCAAAACCAGACACACACACACACACACAAGTTTTTCACCAAACATGGCCAACAGCAATCGCCAGGATCCTGCAAGAAAACAACATTGGCCTAGGAAAAAAACACCTTGGGAACATGGTTAAAAAAAATCAATGGATTGATTTAAGGCTTAAGTTGAAGGGAAAAATCATGAAAAAAAACATGGGAAACCATAGTTTTTCCCCTGAAATCTAGGGGTTTTCTGTAAATTTTCTCTTAAACCAATCCATTGAATCAAGCCTCCCCAAGTCTTTGGTTCTTTTGTACTCTGGTTCAGCTGTCCCCTCCCAGTTACAGGAGAAACCCATAGTTGGAGGACAGCCAAGCACTTATCAAATGGGATAATCGGGTCACAATCCTCCAAGTAAACATGATCTTCCTCCATTTTGCAGTGCTCTGATGTTTCTTCTTTGCACTTCGGCAATGATCTGGGCATCACAGGCTCCGCTACAAGGGCACCAACCACACGCGGAAGGAGTGAGTCCATGTGGCCAAGTGCCATGCTTCGGTGGCTAAACGATGCTCAAACGATGGCTAGATGATGATTAAATGATGGTTACTTGATGGTTGAATGATGGTTAATTAAATTATGTTTTTCATGTTGTTAAATGTTGTTCAATGCATTCATTTTCATGGTTTATTCATGGTTTGATCTTTCGGAATTTTATTTTACATACCCTCTGGTAATTTAACATAGCTATTGAAAATCACCATTTTTAATGGGAAAATCCACTATAAACAGAGATGGCATTCTTGGTGGATTCTGAACCTTACCATTGAAGTTTCACCACCAGGACTATTTCTATCTGTTTCGCAACGGTTTCAGCAGGGAAGTGGCACCAAGGTCGCACCAAGGTCGCCACCAAGCTGCGTATGCGGCATGGAATCATCATCGGTGATGCTGAGAACTTTCAGCCAATCCTGGCGTTTTTTGCGAAAATCCGAGGATTTATAGTTTATACCCTCTGGTAAACTAACATAGCTATAGACAATCACAATTTTTAATGGGAAAATCCACTATAAATGGCCATTTTCAATAGCTACGTTAAATTACCAGAGGGTAATACATGAGAACCGGAATCCCAGTTGGTGATGTGGATTGACTCCAGAAAATAAACCTCTGAACATGGGGGATTGACCCTGGTTACCCTGGGACCGTGGGAACATGATGACACACCAGAAAAACGTTTGGGGGTTCCCTATGATTTATACCATATTTATACCATATTTATACCATATTTATAGCATATTTGTTCAGAGAATCTCATTGAATATCCACTGTGTAACGTGACATTTTTTTTTCTACTGAACTGTTGATATTTCCCATGATTGTCCCCATGGTCCACTTATTGAATATTCTTGGTTGACCACTCCATTAAAATCATCCATTTTTGTGGCTTAAAGTCCTTGAAGTCTCCATTGGTATCTGATTTTTGGGTTAACCAAGCGCCAGATCATACCCTGGGGGTGCGATCCGCCCGAGTCGCCAAGAGTTCGCGTCGGGTCGAGAAGTTGCGCCAGCCGCGGTCCGTTGAAGGAAACCGGGGTGGCCAAAAGATGCAAGAAAAGTACACTTCCAGACTTCCAGAACATATATATTATATATATATGTTTTTAAAGGATGAATTAAGATTGATTTCTGTCACAGAAAGATTTTGTTGGGAATAGACATGGCTTGGTTTGATTGGTAGGTGAGGTATTATATCATTCCTCCCACCCAATATTGTTATTACATATTAATTACATCTTATTAACCCAACAAACATGGTTTAGTATTGGATCTATATATTTTCATTTTATTGGGATCTATATGGGGGTATTCGATATTCAGACGGAGGTAAGCCCTCGACTTTTTCTGAGAGCTTCCACAACTATTCCTTGTCAGACTTGTTCCTAGGAGAGCTTGGAGGGGTAACATTGCTGGGAACATATGAGACACACATCTATAAATGTTGGTTTTAATGGAAACAAATCGAACTCAACGGGGATTTATTTATGGGAAAAAATGATTACCAGAGGGATACAGATCAGACTCTTGAACACCTTTTGGGAAAAGGGCATCAGCAAGCCCATACTTCTTGGTATATTCTTATTTTGCTGAACTGAGCTGTGGACAAAGGCGATATCTGGTGCTTGGAAGATCAGCTCCTGACTTACCCACTTACTTGGACCCCCACGCGGCCCACGCAGGTATCAGCACCAGCAACATGTGGCTCTTCGATGCCAATGGAAACATCCAGAAGTACGACACACCAGAGGTGGGGGCCTAGTGACCTAGTGCTGCTGTTGGCTGGAGACTTTCAGAATCTCACGCCAAATAGCTTGCACCTACTCATAGCTACAGTTGTGGGATCCACAGTCGAAAAACCATCGGAAAATCGAGAAAAATTAGCAGGTGCCCCAACGGTACCCTGGAGGTGGATGTTCGTTGGTGAATAAGCCCCATTCATACTACTTGGATTAATATCTACCAAATTAATATAATTGAATATAGATATATCTGCTATAAAGAATGATCAAGATATATCTACCATATAAATCCAAATAATTCTATAGATGAACTTGTAGAAAAATATAGACATATGTACCATTAACCCAACAGTTGAGCTACTTATAAACCAACATAGCAAAGGATTTTGGACCACATTATTACCACATTCAGTATCAATATTGGAATCTTCAGCCACAAAGTACTGGTTATAATACATGCTCTACATAAATGGGCCTTGTAACCTAAGGGGAGTCACCAGGACATCCTGAGAGCTTTCTTGCCGGTGCGCTTAGACGTCTACGAGAAGCGGAAGGCACCGCGGCACCGCTGCTTGCGGCGGCCGTTTGTTTTTTATTCGATGGGGTCATTGCAGAAATGTAGATCTTGCAATGGAGGGAATTAATGTAACGTGTTTTTTTCAAAAGTCTGGAGTTTTTAAGAGCCAGGAAGATTTGGTGTCAATGCCAGTAAGAGGCCAGGCGCGTGTTGATATTTTGGCGTCTTGATATTTTTGGGGTGGGGGGGTGGTGTGGGGTGGGGTAATAACGTCCTGTTCGACTTCTGCTCCATAGAAAGTGCTCTTGCACTTCCACACATACGTCATGCAACGCTGCTGGATGTTCTCTTGCACTTCCACACATGCGTCATGCTACGCTTCTGGATGTTCTCTTATCTTGCACTTCCACACATACGTCATGCAACGCTGCTGGATGTTCTCTTGCGCTTCCACACATACGTCATGCAACGCTGCTGGATGTTCTCTTGCACTTCCACACATACGTCATGCAACGCTGCTGGATGTTCTCTTGCGCTTCCACACACACGTCATGCAACGCTGCTGGATGTTCTCTTGCGCTTCCACACATACGTCATGCTACGCTGCTTGATGTTTTCTTGCAATTCCACACATACGTCATGCAACGCTGCTGGATGCTCACTTGCGCTTCCACACATACGTCATGCAACGCTGCTGGATGTTCTCTTGCGCTTCCACACATACGTCATGCAACGCTGCTGGATGTTCTCTTGCGCTTCCACATACGCCATGCAACGCTGCTGGATGTTCTTTTGCGCTTCCACACATACGTCATGCTACGCTGCTGGATGTTCTCTTGCACTTCCACACATACGTCATGCTACGCTGCTGGATGTTCTCTTGCGCTTCCACACATACGTCATTCTACGCTGCTGGATGTTCTCTTGCGCTTCCACACATACGTCATGCTACGCTGCTGGATGTTCTCTTGCACTTCCACACATACGTCATGCAACGCTGCTGGATGTTCTCTTGCGCTTCCACACATACGTCATGCTACGCTGCTGGATGTTCTCTTGCACTTCCACACATACGTCATGCTACGCTGCTGGATGTTCTTTTGCGCTTCCACACATACGTCATGCTACGCTGCTGGATGTTCTCTTGCACTTCCACACATACGTCATGCTACGCTGCTGGATGTTCTCTCGCACTTCCACACTTACGTCATGCTACGCTGCTGGATGAATTCTTGCATGTCCACACATACGTCATGCTACGCTGCTGGATGTTCTCTCGCACTTCCACACATACGTCATGCTACGCTGCTGGATGTTCTCTTGCGCTTCCACACATACGTCATGCTACGCTGCTGGATGTTCTCTTGCATTTCCACACATACGTGATGCTACGCTTCTGGATGTTCTCTCATCTTGCACTTCCACACATTATTTCCACACATACGTCATGCAACGCTGCTGGATGTTCTCTTGCACTTCCACACATACGTCATGCTACGGTGCTGGGCGTTCTCTTGCACTTACACACATGCGTCAAAGGCAATGTCCTGAACAGCCTCGGCCAACTTTGTGCTTGAAACCAACAAAAAGAACTTTTCGGCGAAACCCTCGGCAAACAAAACTGGAATTTCGCATTCGTGCTTGTAAAACACTAAATTTTCCACTTTTGAGATCACCCTTCCAAGGGATTTGCACCAGAAGTTTATTCCAGAAAACTAAACATGTGCAAATTACAACAGTTTCGGACATTTCCAGATTTTTGTTTTCAAGTTTGTGGGGTGTATAGGCATGATTTGGAATGGTGTTTACTTCAAACATCAGCAGCAACGTTGCTTAAATTGAGTGGTTGACCGTTCAAAAGGTGTATGTATTGCATTTTAGTAACCCCAAAACATATAGAAATGTAATATCTCATTATTATTTTAATAGGCGTTGACTTTCATATCCTTTTTTTGGGTGCTATAATATGTGTATATGCATATATATATATACTCATAGATTGAAAAACCAATAACGATTGTAGCATGAACTATGCAAGAACCTTTGACTGTGGGGCATGCTCTCACAGCGAGGTGAATCGACCTCTCATGAACTTTTGGAAGAAAAGGGATGCCCAAATGGACCCAAATATCAGGAATATGGATGAATATGGTTTTGATGAGTGATCAAGCAAACATATGCCTCTTGGAACGAGGAGTTGATTTTTGCATATCCTTACAGATAGTGTAGTAACTCCCAACAAGATGCAGAAAAGGTGAACAGTTTACATCAGTTTACGATATATTTACCAGATTAGGGTAGTTTTTCTATCGAGCAGAACCTAACCTACCTGAGTGGTTGAGGCTTTCCTTGTGGCGAAGATGGAAAGAGAACTGGCTGTGATCTTCAACAAGTCTCTTGGCGAAGACAAGCGAGACCACGTCCAAAAAGTTTGGCCAATTCAATGGTGATTTAATGGGCTGATTTAATGGGATTTAATAGCAATTAATTTTGCCGTGACTTAATAGGATTTTACAGTGATTTATGGGGACTTTACGGTGATTCAATGGGATTTTATGGTCAATTTAATTGTGGTGTTAATTTCATGGAATTGTAGCGTGGGATTTTTTGGGGGATTTCACCAGCCAATTTATGGTGGAACATGGAATTATTGGATATATTAATATATAATGTCAACCCTGGATTAATAAACCCCTAGGCTGTTTAATTGGGAGGGTACCATTTATGTACCATATTGTGACTATTTGGAGGGTACCCCCTAATTAATAAACCATGGTTTATTAATCCGGGGTTGACATTAACT